CTGGGCCACCATGCCGCCTATTCTGTATAAAGGTGGAAAAAGGGTAGGAGGAGGGTTTCTTCTAGACAAAAGGTGCGTTCGACTTCATGCAGCGCTGCGCAGATCGATCGAAATCTGTCTTAAAGCGGTGCATGCTGGTTAGAAATATTGTTCGGATTAATGCTGCGCTGACGCCATGTGACTGTCACATGTGGCATTAAAGTACCGCTCCGAGATCAGACGGCAAACTCAGACCATGCAGCTTCTGAAGAGCGACTGCAGGAGCTTTGATGACGACACCGATATTACACGATTGGCCGAGTTCACCACATGACAACAAACACGTGTATTTCGACACAAATTCCGATTCAAAAGTTTCAAAACAAACAATTCACTTTTCACACCCTCTCTATCCTGTACACATCTTGCTTATTAAAAGACTACAAATATTTGACTGCAGTAATCATCTTTTGTTAAATAGTCTGGTTATAAAGGTTAGCTTGTTTGCACAGGTTTTTTATACAGACTATTTACTGCATTCATCTCCATGAACGATTTAAATTATATATTTTAGTGAATAACCTAAATATTAACTCGAATAAGTCTTACCGAGTTGAAATAAAATAATCATCATCATTGATCCTGCCACCCTAAAGCTCTCTTAACAAATTAAGTTAAAGAACGATTTTATTAAATAATTATAAAATAGTTTTATTATTATAATATAAATATATATTTTATTTCCTGTCTAGCAGTTTAAAGGCTACCTGCTCTTTCTGGGAAACGTTCGAGGTTACTAAAGTAACCCTTCGTTCCCCGAGGAGGGGAACTCCAGCACTATAAGTGGATTTGATGTTAAAATCCACGTATGGGAGGTTCGGTTCAGAAGCTACTCGTATGAAAGAGTATTGAACGGGCCAATTAAGAATGAATTGGCAGCGCAAGCCTGCGCAGGTGTGCGGCATATGCAATCAACTTAGTATATAAGCACGCCTGGTTCCTTCGGGGGGAACTCCAGCACTATAAGTTGATTTGATGTTAAAATCCACGTATGGGAGGTCATTGAAAGCGCCATAATGACTGCACCTTACCAACACCCACCATGAGAGAGCGGTCAGGCAAGCGTGACGCACCCAGATCATGAGAGGCGCGGTCCTCCAACGTGCCCTTGGCCCTAACTTATCCCACTTCAAAAGAAGTTTTACGGAATAGGTATTTTTTTTGGGAGTCGTTGTACAGTCCAGTACGTTGGGAAGCGTGCCATCCCAGTAGGGAGGACGCTGCGGAGACCATCCGCACCCAATAAGGGTAAACAAATGGAACACATATGGACTAACCCTGAAAAGGGGGAGTGCGCATAAAGGTGGTTAACAGATAGGGAAAGCACAGGTCCGCCCAGGGGGAAAAGCATATGGGGATCACCAGCGGGGATCGGCCATAGCAGGCACCTATACCCAAAACGCGGGCTGACCAGCGGGCAGACCTACTACGTAATGGGCCAGCAAGTGACTCCTCCGCTGAGTCAGTGCTGGGGGCCTCGGAGGAATCTGCAGGGCTCACCGAATGGGGAACTTACTGACAGACAGGAGGGTGCACATCTCTCCGTGTTAGGGAAAAAAGGCACCGCAAGCATGTACAACACCTACCGAGTTGTTTCCTCAATCACCAAAGGTACCTAACACCCTTGAGGAAACCGGCTCCACTCGCAGATTATAAAATCTTGCAAATGTGTTGGGTGTCGCCCAGCCCGCAGCTCTACAAATGTCTGTTAAAGAAGCGCCACGCGCGCACGCCCAAGAGGATGCAACGCTCCGAGTGGAGTGCGCATGCACTCCCGGGGGGCGCGGCTGACCTCTGCTCAAATAAGCACATGAAATGGCCTCCACAATCCAGTGGGATAAATGTTGTTTAGACACGGCACTTCCCTGCTGCCGTCCGCCATAACAGACAAAGAGCTGCTCAGAAGATTTAAAGTTCTGAGTATGGTCCACATAAATGCGCAGAGCGCGAACTGGACAAAGTAAGGACAGGGCTGGGTCTGCCTCCTCTGGGGGCAGCGCTTGCAGAGTTACTACCTGATCTCTAAAGGGAGTGGTAGGAACTTTGGGCACATAACCCGGGCGGGGTCTCAGGATAACGTGAGAAAATCCCGGCCCGAATTACCTGAGAACCTAACCTACCTAACGTTACCTGAGAACAATTAATAGATTCAAAAGAGAAAAGTCGGGGAATATGTGGTTAGATAGAGACAACAAGATGAATGAAATATCACGTTTAATAAATATAGTGAGATTAAATCCAACGGGAGATCCTTAATGAACAGTCTGACGTGCAGAGCTCTGATATGGGTATGAGCTCAAAGCACACTGCAGCGCATGCCAGAGTGTGTGTTTGTCTGTGTGTGTGGTCATGTGTGTGTCTCCTCCGGGGGCAGCGCTTGCAGGCTCACTACCTGGTTTCTAAATGGTGTGGTAGGAACCTTGGGCACGTAACCCGGCGGGATTTTAGGATAACTTGAGAGTAATCCGGCCCGATTTCCAGGCACGAGTCACTGACCGAAAATGCCTCCAGGTCCCCGACCCTCTTAATGGAGGCCAACGCGACCAGCAGAGCTGTCTTCAGGGACAGAAATCTTAAAGATACTGTATCGAGTGGCTCGAAGGGATCAAATCGCAGGCTCGTGAGAACGAGGGCGAGATCCCAAGAGGGCGTGAGAGGGGGGCGAGTTGGATTAATTCGCCTAGCGCCTCTGAGGAACCGGATGATGAGGTTATGCTTTCCCACGGTGCCGCCAGCCACCGCGTCATGGTGAACGGAGATGGCGGCAACATAAACCTTGAGAGTGGAGGGCGATAGCCTACTGTCCAGCTTCTCTTGAAGGAAAGAGAGCACAACACTGATCTGGCAAGATCGGGGGTCTTCTCTGCGAGAGACACACCACTCAGTGAATAGACTCCACTTCAGGGCGTAGGCGCGCCTCGTAGAGCGGGCTCTAGCCTGAGTGATGGTATCAACCACCGCGGGCGGCAGGTTACCTAAGTCTTCCTCGCGTCTATGGACCACACGTGGAGGTTCCAGAGATCGGGACGAGGGTGCCAGACGGTGCCTTGTCCCTGAGAAAGTAGGTCCTCTCTCAAAGGGATCTGCCAAGGGAGGGCCGTCGCGAGGAGGGAGAGCTCTGATATCCAGGTCCGGTTGGGCCAGAGTGGCGCAACTAACAGAACCTGCTCCTCGTCCTCCCTGACCTTGCACATTAACTGCGCGATCAGGCTCACTGGGGGAAACGCATACTTGCGTATGTCCCGAGGCCAGCTGTGGGCCAGTGCATCCGTGCCAAGAGAGCCCTCGGTCAGGGAATAAAACAACTGGCAATGAGCGTTCTCGGGGGAAGCAACAGATCGATCTGGGCCTCCCCGAATCACGCCCATATCAGCTGGACAGACTCGGGGTGGAGTCTCCATTCTCCAGAGTGATTCTGCTGCCGTGAGAGCACATCAGCTGCACGGTTGAGCATACCTGGGATGTGAATGGCCAGTCGTCGAGATAATTGAGTACGCGGATGCCCGCAAGCCGCAGAGGCGCTAGGCCACCCTCCGCGAGTTTGGTGAAGACCGGCGGAGACAGAGAGAGCCCGAAGGGGAGGACCTTGTACTGCCATGCTCGACCTTCGAACGCAAACCGCAGAAACTGACGGTGGCGTGGAAGAATGGAGACATGAAAATACGCGTCCTGCAGGTCTATGGCTGCAAACCAATCCTGAGGACGAACGCATAAGAGGTTGCGCCTCTGCGTAAGCATTCTGAACGACAGCTTGTGAAGGCAGCGATTTAAAACGCGCAGATCTAGGATTGGCCGTGACCCACCGCTCTTTTTGGGTACGATGAAGTACGGGCTGTAAAACCTGCTCTCCATCTCGGCTGGAGGTAGCGGCTCGATTGCACCCTTCGCCAGGAGGGCAGCAATCTCCTCTCGCAAGACAGGGAGGGACAGGGGATTGACCCTGGTGAAATACACGCCCGTGAACCTGGGAGGCCGTTTGGAGAACTGTAGTTCATAGCCGAGTCTGATCGTGCGTATGAGCCACCGCGAGGGGCTGGCCCGCGCTAACCAGGCAGGCAGAGCCCTCGCTAATGACGTCATCGCAGCAATCGTTAACGTACCCGCGGAGGGGCAGCGAGGAGAGGGTGTGCTGATCCGGGGAGCGCGAAGGTCCCACAGAAGAGCTGGAGGAGAGCGTTTCGCTCTGGCTCCGCACCCTGACTCCTGAGAGGGGGCTTGGGGGCTGGGAGAAGGGAGACCGTCCCTCCAGTGCCCGAGAGCCGCTGGCGGAGCATGCAAGCCCTGCAAGCTGAGAGGCAGCGCGTCCCAGACTGGCGGGGCTTGAGCTGTCACATCCGGGGAAGGGAGAAAATGCTCTTTGATCGAAACTTTGGTAGCACTGAAAAGTACCGTTGGAATTTGGGCCCCGTCCTCCAGCGGGGAAAGAGCAAGACTCCTCTTCTCCGGATGGCCTGTCTCAGGGACGCTTCACGGTCCGTTTACCGGACTTAGTGGCGCCCTGGGCAGGAGGGGCTACCGGCTTTCGGCGTGCTCGACGGAGGCGGAGGCGGGGCATCGGCCGTTGGCGGGCGCCCTCGGCGAGGAGCAGCGGAGGTGGATGGCTCGGCCGGGGATGGAGCGGGCTTACGGCCCCGCCGATAGATGACTTTGCCCATCGCATCCGACTGCTCCTTCACGGCCTTAAAAATTTTACATTTTTGCACGTACCTAAGCCCCATATATATGTAGATATTAATGAACAATTTAAACAATGTATCAGTGCAATCTGTGGCACCTTTAATTACAATATTTGTGTCCAGTGTAAATGAACAGAAATATTGTGTCAAGTTCTGGACAGCATTGGACAGATGAGTGCAGATTACACTTGATTTTCACAAGTGCACCGGTCACACAGTGATCTTACTGTAATTATAAAATAACACAATACAAAAATGATATAAATTTAAGAGTTGATGACTTACCGTATAATTATAACAATAAAAGTCTCTGCAGTAACGGTTGGTGGGTCCAACAGCCAAACCCAGTGAAAGCATAATAATGGAAAAGACCGCAGCTATAGCACTGAAAATGTTCATCCCGAGGGAAGCTCTCACCTACAGTAGACACACAGAAATAGAAAGGTTTTGTATCATGTTGTGTTAACACACTGTGGTTAAGCAGATGATAGATTATATGGAAAGTGATCTAAATGAATTGATAAATGAATACAATACAGGATCTAAGCACCAAAGACTCGTGTATGAGTAAAGGCCGGCTCACACAGTGGGATTGTTTATAATCCTGAACGATTGTAGCATGTCAGACTGCACGAACATGGTGCTCATGTCACACTGTAAGATCTCAGCTGTCATAAAGTCAGACTGAACGACAATGAAGACGCGACAAACACGAAAGAAAACGCCCCCGGAGTTTGACATCATCCACCCGTGACACTTTCACTATCCCGCGTTCTGAAATGATTCCTCACAGCAAACATAAACAATCTGTAGTGGCTTTTCTTACTTCATCAGAGGAAAAATCTGATCGCAACGAGCACGAATCGGCTGTGTGTGAACACGTCAAACCAACAATCAAAGATCACAGATTTTAGCCTGGGATTTCAGGAATCTTTTAGGATTTCCCAAACTTGTCTCAGATGACAAAATCGTGGCTGAAATCTCACAGTGTGAGCAGGGCTTTAGTGATTACATGGAAAGTCTGTGTTCAATACTCTATTAGCACAGAAAAAAGGATATTTACGCACAAATCCTTACACACCAAAAGCACCCAGTGTGTAGACCCATGAAAAGAACAAGTGTTGTGTACATACCAGACATAAAGCAGATGGTGAATTGATTTTGTTTTCAGCAGCAATGGAGAGCAAGCCTGTAGTAATGTACTGAGAACAGAGAGAAGAGCAAAACTTACAGCTTATGTTGGGAAAAAAAATATATAGATAGATATAGATATAAATATATAGATATATAGATATTCATAGGTAGAGATATACATGATACTCAACCAGAATGAGCATTTTACTGCTGCATGAACCAGACACTAGTCCTGTCTTGTCTTGTATTTTGTGCTCGGCTCAAGTTTTTTCAGGTTGAACACCCTTTCCTGTTGTCTGTGTTTGTCTTTTGTATGAGCGTCATCTTGGTGTGTGTTTTGTTTGTGTTCAGAGCTCAGTCTAGCACTAGTTAACCCATTGTCAGTTTAATATGTTCACCTGTTTGTTTGCCAATTATTTGTCATTTATAGTCTCTTCATGTCTGCTGTCCTTTGCCAGTTCGTTGGCCTACTTATGTCATTCTTCCTGAGAGTCATGTCATGTCCTGTTCCCTTTCCGTTTAGTTTGTTCCTCCACAGGGTTGTTCTTGTTGCCCTTTTTTATAAATGATAAATACCCATTATTGACTACACTTGAGTCTTTGTCCTTTCCCAACCTCAACCTTGACAAAACCAAGGCAAAACATAAAAATATGTACAGATATTCATAAAAAACACCAGCAGAAACAAACTCAATTCAAATGTTCATCCTTCTCCATTCGAGCAGGGTATACACAATGCCATTTTACTGTCATATAAGCTCATATGTAGTTTCCCCCATCTGTAAAAGTGTGGAAATCGTTGATGCTCATATGGACTTGTCTTGACTTGTGTGAGAGTAATTCACAAGCTGAGACCAGCAGCTCATGAGTTCTCGATCGGCCCAAAGCAACAGTCTCTGTGTGAGTAGCTTACACTAGCGATCAGCCCACGTTAAACCCATAAAGGCCACATTTGGGCTCGGGCCCAGAGCAGGCTGCCAGTGCTAGGCCTTTAAGAGTTTGAACGGCAAAACGTTGGCTCACACTAGGCCCACACCTGCCCTGGATGGGCAGACCCCACTTTAACCTAACAGCTCGATCATCCTCCAGAAAGAGTGATGTTTGATTAAAGTTTGGAAAAGGAACAAATAACACTGTCAAAACTTCCCATTTCACTTCAATAGTAATCATATGAAGCTCCAGGAACACTTTTGTGTGCCAAAATAAAGTTAAAGCATCTTTGTTCACCAATGTCCTCCATATCAGATCAGGGAGTCTGTTTGTGTGTTCAGTGCTGCCTCTAGTGGCAATACGAGATACTTAATAAACATGTGCACAAAGCATTTACATGTTCTTTTAGTGTCTGTAAATGTGACAGTAAGATGTATTCTGGTTGATTACACACTGTAGCTTGTGTTATCTAGGACAACATGTTAAACTGTATGATTGTTTCTTACTATCAGAGATGCCACGTAAGAAACACCAGTGAAGAAGAAGATATAATTTCCATAAATTGTACACAAGATTCCCAACAGGAAGGTCAACACACCGATCATTATCTGGACAGTCTGTGAGGAATAAGAGAGAACAGTGTAAGGATGAGAGTATTTCATGAAGTAAAGCAGACTAACATGCTGTGTGTTAATGTGTGTTATCTGGGTTTAAGGGAGATTTCTCACCCCGAGGGCTTTCGGTTGGCCTTTAAGAAAGGCCTGAATTCCTTGACGAGGTGAAACTCCTGCTACATGCTGTATGCGCACAGGCACAGAAGAACTGGTCCCAGTTGCTGTTTGTGTCAGTGGCTGAAGCTGGATGACAATCGTTGAAGGATTCATGGCTCTGACAGTCGCCATTTCAGTTTCAGAGTATCAAATGAACCTGTACAAAATCAAAATAAAGCAAAAGAGGATACCATTATCAGTAAAATATAGATAAATATTATAACTACATTTGTATAAATATTATCTGAACTATAATATACATCACATTGACAATCAGACAAGGTATCACAAGTGACAATAAAAAGACAATAATGAATGACAGTCGTCTGATTTGTATTCGTTTATTAATGCTTCGATCTCACTATTCTCTGGGAGCTTCGTTCTTTAGTCTTTGAGGTACAATCAAATAGTCACAGAAGTACTGGAATAACATTTTATGGCTCAGATATAAACACTGACATTTATGGTACAAATTAAACTGAAAAATTTGACGCTTCAAATGAAGGTTGTAGCAATTACATTGTTAAGCCAATAGGTGGCGACAAAAAAACATAAAACTTGTCACTTGTTATGAAGAGTAGTTTGGAAAGCCTGTCTTTACTCATTGTGGTCAAACGACTCGATTAAACAAATCATTACATTACATGTCGTCATTTAGCAGACGTTTTTGTCCAAAGCGACCTACAATTAAGGAGGCATTCAGCAATTCAGCAGGAAGAGGCAATACACACAAGAAGTGCTAATGAAAGTGAAACTGAAACTAAAACAGTTTCAGCTAGGCTACTCATTCAGTTTTGGCCATATGGTCAGTGATAAGACATTATCCAACAGTGTAAATATAGTGGTGGGATTTGTCTAGAATGCAATTCACTTCACCTGAAATGTTATCGGTCTGCTTGTTTATTTAGTAGATAACTGACCAACAAAATATACATTACCAATAAGATACAAATGACAAGAAGTTAGAGGATATTAGCAAGAACAATATAGAAAGTGGTCAAAAATGATGTCTGAGCCACTCGCTTTACTCCGGTGTACCGCCGTCTCCTCTACCTTACCTTCATATGTCTACAATTGACCAAAACAAAAACAACATATATTTCAACTAAATTAAAATACAATTTTAAATACATTTTTTATTGGCCATTTAAGTTCCTATGGAACGTGACAGTTCCTAGAGAAACAGAATATTAACTGAGAAAAAGTGGGCGTGGCTTGTGTTTTTTTTTTTACATCGAGCTGATTGGATGCAGTAAAGTAGGCATTTCATTCAAAAAGACATCATGCAACCCCACAGATAGGTACAACAAATCCAATGAATTTAGAAGCACTTAATAAAGCACTTGCTTATTGAACCCAAAAACCTCACACGCAAAATCTAGAACACTGTCTAACCCTTGATAGATCCTTAGTTCAGTCCTCTTCATCAGTCAAAAATTTGGGGGTGATTTTTTATAGCAACCTGTCGTTTGAAGGCCAGATTTTAAGCATCTGTAAAACTGCATTTTTTCATCTTAAAAATGTTGCCAAACTTCAACACATGCTATCAGATTCTGATGTGGAAAAGCTTGTTCATGTTTTCATGACCTCTAGATTAGACTACTGTAATGCATCCCTAAGCAGTTGCCCTGTTGGCCTAATTAACAAACTTATCAAGTTCAAAATGCAGCTGCTAGAGTGCTCTCTAGAACACACAAATATGATCATATTACTCCAGTTCTTTCATCATTGCATTGGCTCCCAATTAAATATTGTATACATTTAAAAAATTCTAAATTGATAAAAATTATGTTGACTGCCTACAAAGCCCTGAACTGCTTAGCTCCTCAGTATTTGAGGGAGCTCCTGGTGTATAATAGCCCCTCACGTCCTTTAAGTTCTATTAATTCTGGACAATTGATTATTCCCAGAATATCAGCAGAAACTGTAGGTGGTAGATCTTTCTCATATCTGGCACCTAAACTCTGGAACAGCCTTCCTAGCACAGTTCGGGAAGCAGACACGCTCTGTCAGTGTAAAACTAGATTAAAGACACATCTCTCTGCATTAGCGTACACATAAAACACACATGCTGGTGAAATCCAAATCCTCCAAAAGATTGTTAGTGTGCATTATTATGGGCAACCCGGAGCCAGGAACACTTCCTAAAAGACATTATAGTTTGATCGGCATCTGCACTTATGTTAGTCTGTTTTTCTCATTCCCAAGGTTTCCATAATCCTAGACCAGGCTGCATCCTGAGCAGATGCCGTGGTGGTCATGGAGGAGTGGAGAAGATTGACCAGATGAGCAATGGTCGTGCACAACTGAGCCTGGATTCTCTCGAGTTTCTTTCCCTTCACTTTCGTCAATTGGTGAAGTTTGCATGGTTCAAGACTTGTGGAGCTACGCATCAATGGATTTGCTTATCAGTATCTGGACTTTCAGCAGTGAAAATTAAAGCACACTGAACTGAACCAAACTTCAACTCTGAAAACTGGACTGACACGGTCTAATAAAGGGACTAAGCTGAAAAGAAAATGAATGAAGGGACAATGGACGCCGTTGAGGTATTACATTGATGAAGACTTCAGCACAACCACCTGGTATGAATTCAATTGAGATGGTGTGGCTATTAAAGACTTCAATACAAAAAACCTAAACCAACTACGAAGGCTGATTTAATTAATGAGTTCTGCTTTGAGGAACTAGCAGATGAGGAACTACATGAGTAGGCTGTTTAAAGTCTGTTAGTCATGGTTGAGAATCAGAGTGGATACACTGGAATATTGGAGTGCTAACATGTCACGACCAGACTGTAGTTTCATGTATGGTGTACTTTCGAAAAATGAAACCTGTTTGATTGCAGGGCCGTATTGTCATTGTTTGTGGTTACTTTTGGCTGAGGAGGTCTTCTCTTAATAACTTTGTACTGGGGAAATATTCTAAACAGACTGTTGAACTTTACAAACCAAATAAAAAATGATGTACAGCTGCCCAAAATTCAATGTCTTGCTCTGAAAAAAAAGTTCTTGCTCACAAACAAAACATAAACCCTCCCCAAGCCTTAATGTTAGTGCAGATCATCAGAAAACTGGGTTTGCACCTTACACTTGCTGTGAATGTAAAGGTAGAGAGAGTGTAAGAGGCTAAATGATCATATGCATTTGTTTATATGACAAAACATGTCTTTTTGACTCAAGAAGGTCCATATTGACTCCAAAGTCAGATACTGATGAGATCAAGGCCTGTTGTGTGGACTTTGGGGGTTTTATGAGTCTATCTTCTCTGACTCTGGTGCAATCAGGCTAACTTCTGGGCCTGCTCTCTTTGTCTCTCTCTCCCTCCCCGTGTCTCTCCTTCTACTTCTGGTAACTTTAATTTTACATTTAAGCTGGGTACAGTTATTATCATATGTTTTATCATTTCATACAGTTATTTTGTTATTAGTTCAGTTGTAACCATTGAGAATTATTGTAGTTAAATCATCTCATTTTCAAGTATTTGTGAATTACTTTTGATTTAACATCAATATTTAATTGTTCCGTATTGCAATACAATACGATCACGTAATATCAGCTCTCTCCCACATTTATAGCTATTAACACTGCCCTTATTTCCGTTTTTGGTATGTGATTGCGGAACAATTGTTTGACTAGAAATGTACAGTTTTTTACCATCATACTGATAACTTTAGTCATTCGGCAGAACTGCAGTTCAAACCGCTGTGGTTAAAACCCATTTTTACAAGGGATTCAATACCCGTTCACACTACGGTCCGATTGGAAAACACCAGAATTGTATCAGGTTTGACACCACGTATGAAAGTGGCACAAATCAGAATTGAAAAGATCAGATGCCATGCGGTCTGCCATGACCAAAACAGATCTGAGTCACATGTGGGCAAAAACATCAGATTCACCTGCAGTGTGAACGCAGTCTAAAGTCACTGTGTTAAACTGTAGAGTTGAATTTTCAACATCAAAAGTGGTCAGAGCAGAGATCAACATCCCATAATGCAATTCACCACCAGAAATCAACAAAAACACACAAAATACAGAAACTTTTTTAATGAACAGAGGTGTAATGATCACGAGTGTTTAATCAATGGAAAAATCACAGCTCAAGTTTAAAATGATCAACATCACCTACATTTTAAAAGCCATTCAAGGTCCACTTGTTACCAAATAAAGGAAACACATCCATTATTATTACTTTAGTAAACACAGATATAATAAGTATATTTTAGTATGTAACGTACTGTCTTACCTGAAGCAGAATCCCGTCTTCAACTGTGCTTTGACTTTCTCTTCTGCTGTAACTTTACACCAGCGCAGTGATTCCCAGAAAGAGACAGGAAGCAGGAGGAGTTTTCTGCAGAATGGCCGCAGGTAAAGAGCCTCTCCCTCAAGCTCTCAGTTCGTTTTTTCCATCTATATATTTGCTCTTTATTGGGCTCCTAACGTTACGTGCTCGATATGAGCCTTGGATAGCATTGTATAATTGATAGGACTTATCTGTGAGGACCCAGAGCTCTGTATATTGAATTATGCCTTTGTGTAATCCATAGTATTACAAATAGGAATAAAAGGGTGTAATCCATAGTATTACAAATTGAAATAAAAGAAAAATATATGCCATATAAACTGATATACATTTAGCTTAATTAATAAATTAAAAACCGGATTAATAGATTAATTTAAAAGTACTTCATAAATAGAATTCAAGTTTAAATCTTAAAATTGCCTAAAGGTATTTTTTGTTTTCCTGTTTGTTTATTGTTGATGATTTAGTTTTATTTTCTGAATTTTGTGAATTGTGAAGATGTATATTGTTACTTTGCCCTTAAGAGGTTAAATTTGAGCTCACCACTGACCTATCAGGTGAAAGGAAATGCGTGCAGCGGAACGACGTAAACAACGTCAGTGACGTCAGAGGGAAAAACGGAAGGGAAGCGAGCGCATAGAAGCTGAGATCGAAAAGCTAATCCAGCGAGAAACGAGTGAAATCCTGTCTTTTAAACTCGACAGAACGTCTAGAAAGATATTGATATTGATTCATCTGACCTGATTGTTTGTTGATCTTGCGATATTAAGTTGATATTGACGCGGATGCAGCGAGGACACGGATCGCGGTTGTCATCGCGTGCAATGAGATGGCGGGCCACCCAACGGATCTCGATTGAACACATTCACGGTGAAATTGCAGCAATTGCACCTGTTGTTTAATGTTTCATCTTCAAGACAGAACTGTGCTGGATGACAGAGTAAGCTGGCATCACACTTTCTTCCTTTCCACCTGTACTGTGGTATGTTCTGGGCAGCAGGACGGTAGGACTCAATTTATGGATTGAAATCGAAACAATACTTTTCCTCGTGATTTCAGGGACTGGTATATAAAATATACCACAAAGACTGTTGGAATTAGCCTTCATTGAACTGTTTCTGAGAGTTATATTGTTTTTCATTTGCACTTTATTAGTGTGAAGACAAATTGTTATTTTATTTCATAATTGTGATTTATTCATTGTCATTTGGGGTATTTATCTTTTGTTTTCCAAGCTGAGTTGAAAATTTGAGTATTTTGCTTAAACTAACACAAAATTAGCTGATACTACATGTAGTTAACTTCTAATAGAATAAAGTAATATAATTAGGACACGTCAATTAGCTATAAATAAAAATAGGTCAAACGTTGTACTTAAAATAAGTTAAAATATATATATAAATCCATAAAATTGAAATAAATAAATAAACCAGTTTGTCAGAGAGAAAGAAAAGATTAAATAAGAGGTTTTCAAGGAAGGAAAAAAAGAGACAATTCATTCTTTTGTTTATTTGGTTTTCATTTTTTTATCATCATTAAGAGGGTTTATTGATAACCAAGTTTTTTCTTTAAAAGAAGTTGTTCTACTTTATTGTTGTTTTTTTTCCTCTGGAAAGAGAAATTAAGACAATTATTATTTTTATTTCTTTCTTTATTATATAAAGTTCATTATAGTTGAAACTAATCCCTGTTGTCTGTTCTCTTTAGTCGGTCTCTCATTTCTGCTCCTACGAACCTACAGTACTGGTCCACGTTTTCCCTCAGGTTCACGCAGTCTAAGCAGTTGTAGTGACGTGGGTGACCTGAGGGTGGCGCTACATTTGTATATAATAAATTACTAATACTTTCACATTGGAGAAAATCTTCTCTCAACTTTTTATTAAATAAACATGGAATTCCAACTGTATATATATATATATATATTTATTTATTAGTTACACCTTACTAGTACCGTGTTGAACCCCCATTTGCTTTCAGACCTGTCATAAGCCTTCGTGGCATATGTAACCTCTTTTGCATTTTAGCTGTGGACTCCAGATAAAAAGAACCTGAAAATAGGGCTGAGTTCAAAACATTACTCTTTATACAGTATACACACACTACTACATCTTCACCAGTCTGTTAGAAGACCTAGGCTGCATCTGAAACCGGCTACTACTCAGTAGGTACTGCATTTGAATTTAAACGTACTACTCTGCCGTTATAAAAGTGCGTTCTATATAGTATGAATGTGAAAAGTCTGAATGGAACGCACTACATCTGGCATTTTGTCAGGGTCACGTGACCTACCTGCGTCAGTTGCGTTGCTTCAGTCCAATTCATGAATTCACTCGCAGGGCATCATGGGATAGTGCAGCGTGAATGGGATGCGCACTTCAGAATCTCGCAGGAAGTAGTAGGTCATCTGGGTACTTCTCGCAAACTGATTTTCGAATTCTATGAATTCGGACATACTATTTGGCTCGCTGGTTTTAGCGTACTGTATAGTATGGAAGAATGCGGTTTCGGACGTAGCTCTACTGTACACATGTTCATCATCTACAGACATGGTAATGGTACATCAATGTATATTTTCCAAAATACACTTGCCTTGCTTTGCCCTTTGCAGCTATACACTACTGATGGCGGACAGTTAATGTTAGTTAATCGAGAGTATTCATCATTATTACAGACTACAGTGAGTTTAATACTAGCAGTCGTTACATTATCAGATGGGGAATGTGGATGGTAATATACAAGTTATACAGTTTCAGTTAACTGATAAAGATAAAGACCTGTTGCTCACTCTTGTCACTGAAGAGAGTCCAAACCCAGTCCAATCACGTGAAAACATAATGGACGTGGCCAACCTATGACCTCAATCAAGATTGACCAACAGAATAAGGTCTTTCATCCCGGAGGGAAGATACCGCCCACTGAGCTGCAGAGTTTTCAACTCGCAAAGATTTTAGATCCGCAAAAAATGATAGAACAGAAAGCAAAATGAACTAGCGCACGATGAAAAATCTGCTGTTAACTGCATGAAATGGCAATAGTTAATGTTTTACAGTGATATATTTTTTATCAATAACATTTACTTTAAATTAATATTGTTTTTATTTGAAAACTTTTATTTCTTTTAATTACAATGTACTTACTTTTGGTCAAAAACTTTGTTTGTTTGAATGATAAAAACATTTCTTAACAGCCAATTACAAGGCATTTAGGCATGTAGACATGGTCAAGATGATCTGCTGCAGTTCAAAGCGAGCATCAGAATGAAGAAGAAAGGGGATTTAAGTGACTTTGAGCGTGGCATGATTGTTGGTGCCAAACAAGCTGGTCAGAGTATTTCAGAAAATTCTGATCTACTGGGATTTTCACGCACAACCATCTTTAGGGTTTACAGAGAATGGTCTGACAAAAAGTAAAATATCCAGTGAGCGGCAGTTCAAAGTGCCAGAGGTCAAAGGAGAATGGCCAGACTGGTTCCAGCTGATAGAAAGGCAGCAAGGGTAGGGTTTTGGTTTTATTAGGATTTCAAGATTTAAAGCAGTGATTCTCAAAGTGTGGTATATGTACTGCTGGTGGTACACAGGCTTCTTCTAGTGGTATGCAGAGGAATCATAGAATTAAAAAACGATGTTAAAAACACATTTAACCCTTTGTGTCCTACAATCACACCAGTGTGATCACAACGTTCAGTTGCATCACGTGATCAGTTGCTAAACCCAAATCTGCTGTCCTGCAATTATTTGTGTTGAGCCAAAGAAAGACACAGGCAATGCTATCGATGAAACAAATCCAATTTATCAGTATAAAAAGAAATGACAATTAGGTAACTAATACATATAGGTAGTAGCAAAACAGACAAAAATACTCATGTAAAATACACAGTTGATGACTATAATAATCATTTGACACATAATCTGATGATGCGCATTATTCAGATCAGATACACAAGGCATCAATGAATGTTCACAGCATCAAAGCAGCAGAACCAATTTGCTGCCTCGTTTGTTCATGTTGATTCACATTTATTCGCCTTCAGTGTACGCTGGGGGAGATTCTGCAGGAGGATGCTGAAAGCATGGTTCGGGGACTTCTTGAGGACATTGAATGTACTGTGGAGGCATTTCTGCAGGAGGGTGTTGAATTAAAGGGTTGCTGCTCACAGGAATCTGCAGGAGAAAATGTACATGGTCAGCTTAAGCTATTGGTTAGTTTTCAACAGTTATTGCTCCATTACCCAGTTCCTCACACGTTTTTAGTACATTAGAAACTTTTATGGTTTTTTATTTTCACTAATTCACAAATTGTTGTAATGTGGTTTGTGTGTGAATACAGAACAGAGATTGGATGAATTAAACAAAACAAAAAGAAAAACCTGTCATTGGTTTCTGTCTGGTCTGCATCAAATTCAGATTTACAATGTTTATTTTGTTAGCGCACATTGTTAGTTTTGAAGTGAACAGTTCTGTCATGAAACTCTATGTGTGCACTGGCTGAAAGGCAGGGCTTAATTTGTGCCGGAACACGTCGGATCCGGAATCTCTGAAATCTGATCTGACACCTCATTTTACCAATCCCCCTCACTCAACCACACTTCTCCCCCGTAAACTGTTCACTTTCGCTTTCTTCCTCGACTCCCCAACTCTCTTTGCTGTCGTCTGCACCACCCCTCCTCCATTCACCGCACCAACACCCCCCGGCTCCCCACTTGTGCGCAACACCTCTTCATCCTAAGGTAACATGGTGCAGGAGATAGGTTGCTGTCGCCTCAACAGACAATTGTCTTCGTAATCTTTGATCAAAGTGGTGAAATTATTAAATTAGTCATCATATTTAAATAAAAGTCTGCAGCAACTTCTGGTTCACATGGACTTTAAGGGTATGAACATTTAAGAGTAAAGAATTACAGACAGATATTGGGTTTGTTGGTTCTTGTGAAATCAGAACCTCAAGCCTTAAAAGTAGCTTTATCCTTTACACCTAAATTTATCTGATGGGTTCAGCTGATGTATTTCTCACCTTAGGTTTACAGCAGCAGGTGACTTTACAGGCAAACGCAAATAGGCAGATGGAGATGCAGAACTCAAGGATGGCGAACACCAGCAACACACAACTGATTCCTGAGAGGAGACTCTGAGAGAACATTCAACATGAGCATACAGGACAACAACAACAACAACAAAGAGAAGTCAAGAATCTGAAGCCCTTTAAATATACTGATGAAACTAAGTGAAGTTTAATGTTAAACTAATTTTGAAAGAAGAACATTTGCTCATGTTTGACCCAGCTGGTTCACATTAGCTAATCATGATCCTCCAATCAAAGGATCCCAAGTCACTATATATATACGGTTCCACGGTTTCCTCCCACCAACCAAATGTGCTCTATATTGTAGACAAATAAGCCTAAATCTTTTCCTAATGTCTTTCTCTCAGAAAGTTCACCTTGACCTGAGCAGGGGGGAGTTTGAGATTGACCTGAGCTCAATCTCCCCTTGCCCTGCGAAAGTGGGGAGCCCTGGGCTCAAGGATTCCTTGACCTCAGAGCTCTCTCCTGGGACAGCAAGCCTAACAAGCGATGTATAAATCGAACTCTTGGAGTGATGTTTAAAGGTGCCATAGAATAATAATCTGGAAATACCTAGGCATACATTTTCTGTACATCCAAATGGCATACCTTCAACCTCAAACACCCTTGATTCCTCATTGTCATGTAAATCATGTGAGTGTAAAACTAAAACACTGACTCTTAGAATCCACTTGGATGCACACAACATTTCCTAGAGACATTACAATCATTAAAGCATTATAAAGCTCTCTCTTCCTTTTGTCTATATAATCAGTTAAATCAGACTTTTCCATTCAAGAGCCAATTACTTTGGTTGTAAATTGACCTTTAAATTTTTATGGAGCATTTTTGCACGTACCTAAACCCCATATATATGTAGATATTAGTGAACAATTTAAACAGTGTATCAGTGCATTCTGTGGCACCTTTAATTTCAATATTAGTATCCAGTGTAAATGAACAGAAATATCGTGTCAGGTTCTGGACAGCACTGGACAGATAAGTGCAGTTTACGCTTGATTTTCACAAGTGCACCGGTCACACAGTGATCTTACTGTAATTATAAAATAAAACAATACAAAAATTATATCAATTTAAGAGTTGATGACTTACCGTATAACTATAGGAATAAAATGGTCCAAAAGCCAAACCAATTGGAAGCACAATAATGGAAATGCCCGCAGCTATAGCACTGAAAATGTTCATCCCGAGGGAAGCTCTCACCTACAGTAGACACACAGAAATAGAAAGGTTTTGTATCATGTTGTGTTAACACACTGTGGTTAAGCAGATGATAGATTATATGGAAAGTGATCTAAATGAATTGATAAATGAATACAATACAGGATCTAAGCAGCAAAGACTCGTGTATGAGTAAAGGCCGGCTCACACAGTGGGATTGTTTATAATCCTGAACGATTGTAGCATGTCAGACTGCACGAACATGGCGCTCATGTCACACTGTAAGATCTCAGCTGTCATAAAGTCAGACTGAACGACAATGAAGACGCGCCAAACACGAAAGAAAACACCCCCGGAGTTTGACGTCATCCACCCGTGACACTTTCACTATCCCGCATTCTGAAATGATTCCTTACAGCAAACATAAACAATCTGTAGTGGCTTTTCTTACTTCATCAGAGGAAAAATCTGATCACAACGAGCACGAATCGGCTGTGTGTGAACACGTCAAACCAACGATCAAAGATCACAGATTTTAGCCTGGGATTTCAGGAATCTTTTAGGATTGATAGATGACAAAATCGTGGCTGAAATCTCACAGTGTGAGCAGGGCTTTAGTGATTACATGGAAAGTCTGTGTTCAATACTCTATTAGCACAGAAAAAAGAATATTTATGCATAAATCCTTACAGACCAAATTTTACAAGCATCCAGTGTGTAGACCCATGAAAAGATCAAGTGTTGTGTACATACCAAACATAAACCGGTTGGTGAATTAATTTTGTTTTCAGCAGCAATGGAGAGCGAGCCTGCAATAATGTACTGAGAACAGAGAGAAGAGCAAAACTTACAGCTTATGTTGGAAAATATATATACAGATATACATGATACTCAACCAGAATGAGCATTTTACTGCCGCATGAACCAGACACTAGTCCTGTCTTGTCTTGTATGTTGTGCTCGGCTCAAGTTTTTTCAGGTCGAGCTCTCTTTTCCTGTTGTTGTCTGTGTTTGTCTTTTATATGAGCGCCATCTTGGTGTGTATTTTGTTTGTGTTCAGAGCTCAGTCTAGCACTAGTTAACCCATTGTCAGTTTAGTACTTGCACCTGTTTGTTTGCTAATTATTTCTTCTTTATAGTCTCCTCATGTCTGCTGTCCTGTGCCAGTTCGTTGTCCTACTTTTGTCATTCTTCCTGAGAGTCATGTCATGTCCTGTTCCCTTTCAGTCTAGTTTGTTCCTCAGGGTTGTTCTTGTTGCCGTTTTTAATAATTAATAAATACCCATAATTGACTGCACTCGAGTCCTTGTCCTTTCCCAACCTTAACCATGACAAAACCAAGGCAAAACATAATAATATGTACAGATATTCATAAAAACTCCCCAGCAGAAACAAACTCAATTCAAATGTTCATCCTTCTCCATTCGAGCAGGATATACACAATGCCATTTTACTGTCATATAAGCTCATATGTAATTTCCCCCATCTTTATAAGTTGGTAATAGTAGATGCTCGTATGGACTTGTCTTGAACTGTGTGAGAGTAATTTACAAGCTGAGACCAGCAGCGCGTGAGTTCTCGATCGGTATAGCCCGCAACTACAGGCTCTGTGAACTCTAGCGAACAGCCCACGTTAATCCCATTAAGGCCATATTTGGGCTTGGGCCCAGAGAAGGCTGCCAGTGCTAGGCCCTTGAGAGTTTGTTAAATTATAAGGTTCTATCTGACATTTTTGTCAAAACTGAGTTATTGACATATTCTAATAAAAAAAACATCCCTTATAAAAAAAAACATCCCATAATGCCAATAAGTTCATTCATTCATTCATCTTCTTGCCGGCTTAGTCCCTTTATTAATCCAGGGTCGCCACAGCGGAATGAACCGCCAACTTATCCAGCAAGTTTTTACACAGCGGATGCCCTTCCAGCCACAACCCATCTCTGGGAAACATCCACACACACATTCACACACACTACGGTCAATTTAGCCTACCCAATTCACCTGTACCACATGTCTTTGGATAGTGGGGGAAACCGGAGCACTCGGAGTAAACCCACGCAAAGGCAGGGAGAACATGCAAACTCCACACAGAAACGCCTACTGAGCCAAGGTTCGAACTAGCGACCTTCTTGCTGTAAGGCGAACGTGCTACCCACTGCGCCACTGCCTCGCCTGCAAAAACAATGTTACACACATACTGAAACACAAAAACATTTTCATGTTCTTTTAGTGACTGTAAATGTGACAGTAAGATGTATTCTGGTTGATTACACACTGTAGCTTGTGTTATCTAGGACAACATGGTAATTGTTTCTTACAATCAGAGATCCCCAGTAAGAAGCACCAGTGAAGAGGAAGAGATAATATCCATAACTTGTACACACGATTTCCAACAGGAGAGTCACCACACCGATCATTATCTGGACAGTCTGTGAGAAATAAGAGGGAACAGTGTGAGAATGATGAGAGTATTTTATAAAGTAAAGCAGAATAACATGCTGTGTGTTAATGTGTGTTATCTGGGTTTAAGGGAGATTTCTCACCCCGAGGGCTTTCGGTTGGCCTTTAAGAAAGGCCTGATTTCCTTGACGAGGTGAAACTCCTGCTACACGCTGTATGCGCACAGGCACAGAAGAACTGGTCACAGTTGCTGTTTGTGTCGGTGGCTGAAGCTGGATGACAATCGTTGAAGGATTCATGGTTCTGACAGTCGACATTTCAGTTTCAGAGTATCAAATGGACCTGTACAAAATCAAAATAAAGCAAACGAGGATACCATTATCAGTAAAATATAGATAAATATTATAACTACATTTGTATAAATATTATCTGAACTATGATATACATCACATTGCCAATCAGACAAGGTATCACAAGTGACAATAAAAAGACAATAATGAATGACAGTCGTCTGATTTGTATTCGTTTATTAATGCTTCGATCTCACTATTCTCTGAGAGCTTCGTTCTTTAGTGTTTGAGGAACAAACAATCAAATAGTCACAGAAGTACTGGAATAACATTTTATGTTTCCGCTATATGTTTTTGAAGTGTTTCAGTCAGGTTTCAGAGCTCATCACAGTACAGAAACTGCATTAGTGAAAATAACCAATGATTTACTCTTAGCTGCTTACCAAGTGTGCATCTCGCTATTAGTTTTACTTGATCTTAGTGCGGCATTTGACACCATTGACCACAATATCCTCATAAAGTCTACAGGTGTCCAGGGACAGGCTCTACAATGGTTTAAGTCATACTTAACTGACCGTTACCAGTTTGTGGATATTAATGGACGCCTTCACAAGTCAGCCCAGTAAAGTATGGGGTGCCTCAAGGATCAGTTTTAGGCCCTTTACTGTTTACAGTTTACATGCTGCCACTGGGAGACATTATTAGAAGACATGGGATCAGCTTTCACTGCTATGCAGATGATACTCAATTATATATTTCAACTAAACCTGACGAGACGTCTGAACTGTCTAAGCTACCTGAGTGTATTAGAGATGTTAAAGACTGGATGACCAACAATTTCCTTCTCTTAAACTCAGACAAAACAGAATTATTACTTATTGGGCCTAAATCTTGTACACAGCAGATCTCGCTACTCAATCTACAATTAGAGGGATACAAAGTTAGCGTTAGCGCTACTATAAAAGATTTGGGTGTCATATTAGACAGCAATCTAACTTTTAAAAACCATATATCCCATGTCACAAAAACTGCCTTCTTTCATCTGAGAAATATCGTTAAGTTATGAAATATGCTATCCATCTCTGATGCAGAAAAGCTAGTCCATGCTTTTATGAGCTCTAGGCTGGATTACTGTAATGCTCTATTTGCTGGCTGCCCAGCATCCTCTATTAACAAACTTCAGCTAGTACAAAATGCAGCAGCCAGAGTTCTGACCAGGTCTAGAAAATATGATCATATCAGCCCAATGTTATCCTCCTTACACTGGCTGCCTGTTAAGTTTCGTATTGAATTTAAAATATTACTTCTCACCTATAAAGCTCTAAATAATCCAGCTCCTGTTTATCTAACCAACCTTCTGTCTCGCTACAATCCAGCTCGCTCTTTAAGATCTCAAACTCAGGGCTTCTGGTAGTACCTAAAGTAGCAAAGTCAAGTAAAGGAGGTCGAGCCTTCTTATTTATGGCTCCTACACTCTGGAATAGCCTTCCTGATATTGTCTGAGGCTCAGACACACTCTCTCAGTTCAAAACTATATTAAATACCTATCTGTTTAGTAAAGCATACACTCAATGCATCACTTAGCTATATGATACATGAATGTGCTCCATACAGGTTTCTGCATCTTGCTTATATACACTATGAACAGCAGCTACGCTAATTATTTTCTGTTTTCTCTATTACCACCTGGGGATACTCATCCCGAGGCCCTCAGATTATGCGGAGTCACTGATTCGATCCAAGACCAGCGACGAGATGATCCCAAGGTTTCCATATCCTGGACCAGGCCGTATCCTGAGCTGCTGCTGCGCTGGTGGTCATGCAGCTCTGCACAAGACTTTTGGCCAGCTGAGAAATTGAAATGGTCATGCCCATTTAGTCATGGTTGAGAATCAGAGTGGATACACTGGAATATTGGAGTGCTAACATGTCTCGACATGACTGTAGTGTCATGTATGGTGTACTTTTGAAAAATTAAACCTGTCTGATTGCAGGATCGTTTTGTCATTGTTTGTGGTTACTTTTGGCTGAGGAGGTCTTCTCTTAATAACTTTGTACTGGGGAAATATTCTAAACAGACTGTTGAAATTTCCAAATCAAATAAAAAATGATGTACAGCTGCCAAAAATTGAATGTCTTGCTCTGAAAAAGATTTTCTTGCTCACAAACAAAACATAAACCCTCCCCAAGCCTTAATGTTAGTGCAGATCATCAGAAAGCCGATCCAACTGGTTTTGCACCTTACATCTTGCTGTGAATGTAAAGGTAGAGAGGGATTCGTTAGCAAGTGTTTGGACAGTGGGGGAAACTGAAGCACCTGGAGGAAACCCACGCCAACATGGAGAGTACATGTAAACTCCACACAGAAACATCAACTGACCCAGACAGGACTCAAACCAGTGACCTTGCTGTTAGGTGACAGTACTAACTACTAAGCCAACGAGCCACTCAAAAGCACAAACTAGTACCCGTTCACACGAAACATCAAATTTGTATCAGATTTAACACCTTGCAAGGTGTTTGTGCCTCTTTCATACATATATGAAAGTGGCACAAATCAGAATTGAAAAGATCAGATGCCATGTGGTTTGGGCTGTTCAAACTGCCTTGACCAAAACAGATCTGAGTCACATGTGGGCAAAAACATCAGATTCAGACCACATTGACCTGCAGTGTGAACGCAACCTAAAGTCACTGTGTTAAACTGTAGAGTTGAATTTTCAACATCAAAAGTGGTCAGAGCAGAGATCAACATCCCATAATGCAACTCACCACCAGAAATCAACAAAAACACACAAAATACAGAAACTTTTTTAATGAACAGAGGTGTAATGATCACGTGTGTTTAATCAATGGAAAAATCACAGCTCAAGTTTAAAATGATCAACATCACCTACATTTTAAAAGCCATTCAAGGTCCACTTGTTACCAAATAAAGGAAACACATCCATTATTATTACTTTAGAAAACACAGATATAATAAGTATTTTAGTATGTAACGTACTGTCTTACCTGAAGCAGAATCCCGTCTTCAACTGTGCTTTGTCTTTCTCTTCTGCTGTAACTTTACACCAGCGCAGTGATTCCCAGAAAGAAACAGGAAGCAGGAGGAGTTTTCTGCAGAATGGCCGCAGGTAAAGAGCCTCTCCCTCAAGCTCTCGGTTTGTTTTTTCCATCTAGATATTTGCTCTTTATTGGGCTCCTAATGTTCCGTGCCAAAAATAAGCCTTGGATAGCATTGCACCCTCACAGGCCTCTTTATTAGTTACACCTTACTAGTACCGTGTTGAACCCGCATTTGCCTTCAGAACTGTCATAATCCTTTGTGGCATATGTAATGTTTTTCCTTTTAGCTGTGGACACCAGATATAAAAAACCTGATAAAAGGGCCTGAGTTCAAAATATTTTAACTGAAGATCAATGGGCTGCCGATAATAATGTATACCAGTCTGTTAGCAGACCTAGGCTGCGTCTGAAACGTACTACTCGGCCGCTATAAAAGTACGTTCTATACACCCTACTGAAAAAAACAGCTTAAACCAGCCTAGCCTGGTTTAAGCTGGATTTTTCAGCAGGGCAGTATGAATGTGAAAAGTATGAATGGAATTCAAACGCACTACATTCACCATTTTGTCAGGGTCACGTGACCTACCTGAATCAGTTGCATCGCTTTACTCACATTCATGAATTCACTCGCGGGGCATCATGGGATAGTGCAGCGTGTATGGGATGCGCACTTCAGAGTCTCACCGGAAGTAGTAGGTCATCCATTTACTTCTCGCATACTGATTTTCGAATTGTATGAATTCGGACAATCTACTCGGCTCGCTGGTTTTGGCGTACTGTATAGTATGGAAGCTTGTGGAATCATAGAGTTTAAAAAATGTTAAAAACACATTTAACCCTTTGCGTCCTACAATCACACCGGTGTGATCACTACGTTCAGTTGACTCACATGATCAGTTGCTAAACCCAAATCTGCTGTCCTGCAATTACTTGTGTTGACTTAAAGAAAGACACGGGCAATGCTATTGATGAAACAAATCTAATTAATCAGTATACAAACAAATAACCAGAGGTGGAAAGTAACGCGTTACATTTACTCATGTTACTGTACTTAAGTAGTTTTTTTGAGAATTTGTACTTTTTAGAGGGCGAAGCAGTGGCGTAGTAGGTAATACTGTCGCCTCACAGCAAGAAGGTTGCTGTGTCGCGGGTTCGAGCCTCGGCTAAGTTGGCGTTTCTGTGTGGAGTTTGCATGTTCTCCCTGCGTTCGTTTGGGTTTCCTCCGGGTGCTCGGTTTTGAATGTGTGTGATGTTTCCCAGAGATGGGTTGCAAATGGAAGGGCATCTGCTGTGTAAAAACTTGCTGGATAAGTTGGTGGTTCATTCCACTGTGGCGACCCCGAATTAATAAAGGGACTAAGCCAACAAGAAAATGAATGAATGTACTTTTTAAGAGTAGTCTTTAAAATCTGTCATTTTACTTTTACTTACGTATGATTTGCCAAAAGTATTGTACCTTGCTACATTTGATATCATATGCGTTACTGAGTAAAAAATAAATATAAACAAAAATGCAACGGAAAAAGGAAATCACGCCCGGAAACCACGTCACTGCAGCAGCAGCGTCAGAAAAATCAGCTGTAAACTTGTCTATTTACTGTTGCTGGTTTTGGACGTATCGCCGGAGTTCAGGAAGTTTAACAGCAAAATGGCTGTCAACCCCAGCAATGACAAGGTAAGCTACTGTATATGGCTCATTATTAATTTTAGTCTTGCCTGTGCCCTTATAGGCATAAACTAGAACTTTATGATGCAGAACATAAATTAATAACATGTGGAAAGTTTAGAAGGCTTAGTATAAAAGCATCTCCAATCCGTTGTTTAATATATTCATGTAATATTTGCACTTGTTAGACTATAAATCTCGTCATCAACTCTGAAGTCTGACAATCTCTTAGTGGTGCTTATCCCACATGGTGTGCATTGTATATGGTTGCCAAGACAGCTTAAAGCCCTAAACTGACACTTCTGTCACTGGATGGGTTGCAATTAATAGCTAAATGTATTTAAAATCATAGACACACTGTAAAAAAATGTTTAATTTAATTCATAAGAGTCATACTACTGTGGTTATTTTGATTAAAGTGTAGGGGATCAACCTACGTTAGAAGATCGATCAGCGTTTATTAGCTCATTTCAATGAACCGAATCTTGAAGATTTGAATCATTGATTCGACTCAATTGAGTCAAATTGAATCAGACTAAAAGATTCACACTTTATTTACGATTTGTCCAGCAAATAGAAGACATCGTATCTTACCAATCTTGTTAATATTACGTACGTTGCCAAAGATAATAACATAACACAGTATTGGGTTAACTTTTAGCAAGGTAACAAGATCTACAGCTCGAGGCAATGACTTAGAAGCACATAAACAAGAACACAGTTCTTACAAAATGAGAAGATTTGAGCTACACTAGAACAACAAACATATGCACACACATTCACACAGAGGCAGTTCAGATGATGCAAAATGAGTTGACGACCGTCCCAAATTAATACTAATACTTCTTACAAGATCTTAGAATCACACCTGAGAAACCACAAAAGCAGAGATTTGGTTTATCTTTAACTGCTTACGATCAATCTGCACCAGATCAGCAAGAGACATTAGTTTGTGTTACTTGCGCCTTTCTTGCTGGAAGTCCTGAATTTCCCTCGCCAGCTGGCCTAGGGGAAACACGGAGCTCCTGATTGGCTGGTGGCTTCAGCGACATCCTTGAGAATCGCTCGTGGGTGGCTGTCGATTACTGAGGTGAAGGGCTGCTGAGAGTCAGTTTGCAGAAGTTTGTGCGGTTTTGGCGGTCCTGAATCATAAGAGGTTTACGTAGAGAGTTTGTGGTGACCTAATCACGTAGCGGCGCGGTGTCCAAGCAGGCGGACAGGGGCAGAAAGCAATAGCAAGCGCAAGCCAGCTAATGCAAAATGCTAAGTTTCTTTGTTGCAGGGTGTTTTTAGGTGACCTGGTTTGGTCCATCCCTATGGCACTGTCTTCCAATGAGCAGTGGTCATAAAGGGTGGGGCCGCGCCACGTACCATTGTGGTAGGGGTCAATTATTAACAGATTTCACGTGGTAAGTTTGTAACTATATAATCAAATGTTACAAGACGAATACTGTTTGTGCTACTTGTTTATCATTTACACCAATGCATTGCACATGTCACTAGCTTTCGTTCAATACCAGACACCATACATATCAGACACATACAGATCATTTTAATCTGCTATTAGTGTTAAAACAACACATTGATTAACCTGGTTGGTTGGAATAAACACCGCATATGAGGAAAACTATGGCATTTCATTCAAAGACACATCTTAGTTCTAACATTTAAAGAGATTGTCTTTAATTCGTATGCATTGATTTCTCTTTGTCTCTACGAAATTGTACATCTGGCAGGATGTGGCCAAGGCGAGGACATGACCTGGAGTCATTTTTAAAGTTACTTATTCAGATTAAAACAACTAATTGGAGATTTATATATTTTTTTACCCTTTTGAGAAATAGTTCCTCTTTACTCATGAGTGCATTTTTAATGAGTTATTGTTTTACTTTTACTTGAGTAGATTTATAGACATGTAACTTCACTCTTACTTAAGTAAAACATCCATCCAGCTGGTGTCCACATTCCACCTCTGCAACATTTAAACAATACTTGTAACAGCAAAACACACAAATACAGATGTAAAATACACAGTGAAATCTATGTTGATGACTATAATAATCATTTTACACATAATCTGATGATGTGCATTATTCAGATCAGATACACAAGAAAACCAGAATCACCACAGCATTAAAGCAGTAGATCCACCGCTCTGCCCTGTTTGTTCATGTTGATTCACATGTATTTGCCTTCAGTGTACGCTGGGGGAGCTTCTGCAGGAGGATGTTGAAAGTACTCTTGAGGGATTCCTTGAGGACATTGAAGATACTGTTGGGGGATTTCTGCAGGAGGGTGTTGAATTAAAGGTTGCCTGTACTCTGGAATCTGCAGGATAAAGTGTACATGGTCAGCTTAAGTTATTGATCAGTGTTTAACAATTATTGCTCCATTACCCAGTTCCTCACACGTTTACAGCACACATTAAAGGTTTTGTGAATTTTTACTTCACAAATCATTAATTCACACATTGCTGTAATGTGGTTTGTGTGTGAATACTGAACAGAGATTGGAAGAATTAAACAAAACAAAAGAGAAACATGTCATTGGTTTCTGTCTGTTCTGCATGAAATCCAGATTTACAATGTTTTGCTAGCACACATTGTTAGTCTTGAAGGAAACAATTCTGTCATCATCACAGGCTGATTGGTCACCTAATCAGCTCCTACATCATTAACTATACGGTTGCTGTCGCCTCAACAGACAATTGTCTTCGTAATCTTTAATCAAAATGGTGAAATTATTAAATAAGTCATCATATTTAAATAAAAGTCTGCAGCAACTTCTGGTTCACATGGACTTTAAGGGTATGAACATTTAAGAGTGAAGAATTACAGACAGATATTGGGTTTGTTGGTTCTTGTGAAACCTCAGAACCTCAAGCCTTAAAAGTAGCTTTATCCTTTATGCCTTCATTTATCTGATGGGTTCAGCTGATGTATTTCTCACCTGAGGTTTACAGCAAGAGGTGACTTTACAGGCAAACGCTGATAAGTAGATGGAAATGCAGAACTCGAGGATGGAGAACAGCAGAAACACAGCTTTGATTCCTAAAACAATAGTCTGAGAGAACATTCAACATGAGCATACAGGATGACAACAACAACAAAGAGAAGTCAAGAATCTGTAGCCCTTTAGGTATACTGATGAAACTAAGTGATGTTCAAAGGTTCCATAGAATAATAATCTGGACATACCCAAGTAAACATTTTCAGTATGTTAATGGCATACCTTGAACCTCAAACACCCTTGTTTCCTCATTATCATGTAAGTCATGCGAGTGTAAACCAAAAACACTGACTCTTAAGGCTCCTACACACCGGGACGTTTTTCATTTGTGTTTACCATCAGCGTTTTACGAGACGTTTTTCAGTGTTCAAACCCAAGCGCTTTTCACTGGCATCAAGCAGACGAGTATGCTAAATCACTCTTTTGACGTTAGATGGCGCTGCACAACTATACGCTTCTGACACCTGGTTATGACACAGAAGAAGTGGAGGAGCGGAAGTTCACAGTCACATGTTTGTTGTTAAATTTACTGGTGACTCGAACAAGCATGGATGGTTCAAGCAGCAGCTCCAGCTCTAGCGATGAAGAAACTATTATTGTTCACCAGTGCAATAACCAGCTCCACGTTCATATCGCCTCTGAGCATTTTCTTCAATGTGCCCTCGCATTGATAGTTTTGAGCGCCTCCAAGTGCTGTTTACTGTAACTTCAGCAGCTCCGTGCACGTGAACAAAAGTGCCGATCTGATTGGTGGAGAAGGTTTTGATGCCACGCATCAAAACAAAAAAAAACGAGCATAAGGCGTTTTTTTTAAATGACGCTTTTGCGTCGGGCATTTTGCGCGTTGGTGTGCACAATCCCATTGACGCCCTTTATTTAGTTACGAGGCGTTAAACGTGAAAACATGAGCAAAACACGTCTCGATGTGCACGGGCCTTTAGGTCTCGTTTACACTAATGCGTTTTAGTTTGAAAGTGCATACATTTCACTACGGTTACGCCATCCATCCACACTACGCCGGAGTTTTCGTGCCCCGAAAGCAAAGTGTTTTGGAAACGCAGGAGAGGCCATTTTCATTCTAAATTGCTGCTGCTCTGTCTCAGTGTGGATAGAGGAAAATGGATACATCTGAAAACGGAGGCGGGGCTGCCGACATTCACCTCTCTGATTGGGGCTTTTCCTAAATATTAAGTACCCTAACACACACAGTTCAGTCCTGCATCCTCTCTGTGTAAGTTGAGACTTTGCAAGTTTGATATGGAAAACAAACTCCCGAGTGTCATTTATAAAGTCATTCACATCACCCTGGCTATACTGTTTCACTGTCTTAACAATAAACTGAAAACATGATGCGAGGAACTGCTATTTTCACTTTGATATTAGCCACTTAACAGACAGCAGAAATGTTGAGGCGTCGTGTAGCTGCTTAACATGAGAGTCATCTTCATGCATATTTATAATAAAACGGTGCCTTTAACATCACTGCCTCCTTTCCTTTTCATTGACAATACGAAACATAGCCTCTCTTTCACTGAATATCAGATTTAATAATCAATAATGGCCATTATAAAAGTATAACGTACAATAAGTTTATTCAATAGAGAAAAAAGGCAAGCCATCAGTCGATTGTGTAGAATCGGTGTCTGCGGTTACGTTAATTAAGATATTAACCTAACTTATACTTGCGCTCAGCCAAAACACGTTACCTGAGAACAAGTAATAGATTCAAAAGAGCAAAGTCGGGGAATATGTGGTTAGATATAGACAACAAGATGAATTAAATATCACGTTTAATAAATATAGTGAGATTAGATCCAACGAGAGATTCTTGATGAACAGTCTGACATGCACAGCTCTCATTTGGGTGTGTGCTCAAAGCACACTGCAGCGCATGCCAGAGTGTGTGTGTGTGTGTGTGGTCACGTTATGTGCGTTTACTTCGTTTTAATGTAGACAGAGAGTTGTTCAGAAACGCTAGGTAAAACACTAATGTGGACGTGGATCGTTTTTCATTCTAAAACGCTGTTTTAAAACTAAAACGCACTAGTGTAAACTGGACCATAGAATCTACTTGGATGCACGCCCCATTTCCACAACACTTCCTATAGAGATTACAACAATTATATATATATATATTGTATATATGCAATATTATACTATTTAATCAGTTAAATCAAACTTTTCCATTCATGGGCCAATTTCTTTTATGGAAAAGTTTTGCAGGTACCTATGCCTCATATATATATATATATATATATATATATATATATATATATATATATATATATATATATATATATATATATATATATATATATATATATTAGGGGGGTAATAGTTCGGAAAACGGTTCGGTTCGATACAATACAGTGGTGTCACGGTTCGGTACGTTTTCGATGCAGCAATAAAAGAAAATTGCCAGAGGATTTCTCTGGTTTTAATTTTTTAATGTATTAAACTAACATCATAAAAGTATGATCTTGTTGTTTTTTACTTTAAACAGTGATAGAGCTATACTTCCGGGGTTTCTGCTTAGCAGCAAATAAAACTAATGCTTCTTTATACTCAAAACCAAAAAGCTTCCTATAAAAAATAAATATAATATTGCAGCAGTTAAACAAATAAAAAGGAAATAACAATTTAGTTTTTATAAGGAACTCAGTTTCAATCTATTTTTAAGTTTTTTTTTTTTTTCAGAAAGATGAGCGTCCACCTTTTCTTCAGTCAGCACAGATCTGCTTGATTTGACTGTGTCACCTGCCATTTCAGTGGATCTGAAAGCAGGAATGATCTGACTGAAATGGGCTCATGATGGAATACTGTAACTGGGCTCTATTACATTTAACATTTTCTTGAAACCTGAAAATTCCACTACCGATTAAGGTCTCTCATATCCACAGTTTTAAATGTACTGATCCCCTCGGCCTTGTTTTGAACGAAAGTCATTAGAATTAACAACAAATCAGCCAGCAGAGTATCAATAACGCCAAGAAAAAGGTCTGTAGGAGGATTACATTAACTAGCCATTTTGCGAACTGTCTCGGGGTCCTGGGTTGCTGGGGCAACAGGGGCGGAGCCAGCACGAGCAGGCTGACAGTGACACAGAAGGCAGCAAGATTGTAATTGAGTGCATTTAATAAAGTGATATTCCGAGTTCAAAAGCGATGTTCTACTGTTTAACATGACAGCGGGAAGGCAGCATGTTGTCTGCCACGTCATTTAGGATGCCATGTTGAGCGTTGTTGCACTGAAAACATATTTTGTACTTAATCTCTTTTATCTTTTTAGATGTTAGTCTGAATCGAATCATTCCGTTTGCAATGCATACCGAACCGAAAGTCTCGTACCGAAAGGTTCAATACGAATACGCGTATCGTTACACTCTTAATATATATGTGTGTATATATATATATATATGTGTATATATATATATATATATATATATATATATATATATATATATATATATATATATATATATACATATACATATATATATATATATATATATATATATATATATATATATATATATATATATATATATATATTAGGGATGCACGATATATCTGAGGCCACATCGTTATCGGCCGATAAATGCTATTTTTAAATTATCGTTATCCATCCGATGTCTAAATTAAGCCGAAATCTTTAAGCCGATAAATTACGTAATTGTTGCCGCGCACACGTGGTGAATGAACGAGGACCCGAAAAAAAGCGCTCCTTTTTTTTGTCTCTTCCTCTTCGCTTCACACACACACACACACACACCCACACCAAACTGACCTGCACACGTGACGCGCTAAATAAAAACTTTACAGAAGGTTTTTAATCTAATATAATTGTTTGTTATCATCAACGCGTTGCTTCCCATGTGTTGTTGATGTAAGATTGTATTCGGTTTGATCGGAATATTCATATTGATTCTAACGAGCGTGCGAGAGCTTTCACCGCACGTGCGCACACACACATAGATCTGACAGCCTTCACACACACATAGTCTTGACAGATCACCTTCACAGATCAACAGGGGAGAGCCTAGGTGCACCGGTCACTGAATCCAGCATACGGGCCACACGTGCTGTCTTTATATTCTGCTCTGTGTTTGTCATAAAGTCATCTGAAGTCAATGATCAGGTTTGTATCAAAATCCAAGGGCAAATCTGCGCCCTCACAGCGGTTTATCATAAACTTTTCATCGGTCATTTTCCCCGCGACTGACAGCAAGAACGAACACAGAAGCGTTGATGCTACATGTGTTCAAAAGAATCTAAAACGCCAAGTAGGATGAATTTATGTCGTATTTTTTTAAAAATAATACATTCTGTATCTAGCTTATCACTTGTACTGTGGCTCTGAACTGTCAAAACACCTCAAAAAAAAGGCTTTTTCGGACATGACATATTTGTACACATGTACATTACTGTAACCTGTTTAATTCAAGAACATTTGAGCTGGTTTCAGTCCTTAGCTCTTTCATTTTCATCTTATTTAAAATATATTTAACTTGCTTGTTAATTATATACCATTTTGTTATTTGACCTTCTTAATTTTATGCATCAGTCAATTTGCATGTTAATTCGCTATGGAGAAAATGAAATAATGTATTTTTTGCATTTGTGTGAAATCGGTCTATAATCACAATCACCTTGTAATTTTGAAATCATAGCTTTTTTGCTTTGAGTATAGACGATTCAGTTCAAAAGAGTGGAGTTTCAGCTTTTATGAAGTTTGCTGTATAAAAATATAACATTTTGAAATATTAATAATTATCGGCCTATACATATCGGCTATTGGCCTCCAAGTTTGAAGAATTATCGGTATCGGCCAAAAAATCCATATCGGTGCATCCCTAATATATATATATATATATATTTGTGGACAATTTAAACAATGTATCAGTGCATTCTATGGCACTTTAATTTCAATATTTTATATTTTAATCCTGTGTAAATGAACAGTAATACCTTGTGAAGATGAGTGCTGAGTCAAATGCACCAGTCACACAGTGATCTTACTGAAATTATAAAATAAATCAATACAAAAATGATATCAATATAAAAGTTGATGACTTACTACATCATTATAACAACGAAAGTCTATGCAGTGACTGTTGATGCGATCAAAAGCCAAACCCTGTGAAAGCACAATAATGGAAATGCCCGCAGCTATAGCACTGAAAATGTTCATCCCGAGGGAAGCTCTCACCTACAGTAGACACACAGAAATAGAAAGGTTTTGTATCATGTTGTGTTAACACACTGTGGTTAAGCAGATGATAGATTATATGGAAAGTGATCTAAATGAATTGATAAATGAATACAATACAGGATCTAAGCACCAGAGACTCGTGTATGAGTAAAGGCCGGCTCACACAGTGGGATTGTTTATAATCCTGAACGATTGTAGCATGTCAGACTGCACGAACATGGCGCTCATGTCACACTGTAAGATCTCAGCTGTCATAAAGTCAGACTGAACGACAATGAAGACGCGCCAAACACGAAAGAAAACACCCCCGGAGTTTGACATCATCCACCCGTGACACTTTCACTATCCCGCGTTCTGAAATGATTCCTCACAGATCTGATCACAATATGCACTAAGCGGCTGTGTGTGAACATGTTAAACCAACGATCAAAGATCACATATTTTAGCCTGGGATTTCAGGAATCTTTTAGGATTTTCCAAATTTGTCTCAGATGACAAAACCGTGGCTGAAATCTCACAGTGTGAGCAGGGCTTTAGTGATTACATGGAAAGTCTGTGTTCAATACTCTATTAGCACAGAAAAAATAAGATTTATGCACAAATCCTTACACACCAAATTTTACAAGCACCCAGTGTTTAGACGCTTGAAAAGATCAAGTGTTGTGTACATACCAAACATAAACCGGCTGGTGAATTAATTTGGTTTTCAGCAGCAATGAAGAGTGAGCCTGCAGTAATGTACTGAGAACAGAGAGAAGAGCAACACTTAAAGCTTATGTTGGAGACTATATATATATATATATATATATATATATATATATATATATATATATATATATATATATATATATATATATATATATATATATATATACAGATATACATGGTACTCAACCAGAATGAGCATTTTACTGCCGCATGAATCACTGCCTCAACTATGGATGTCCCAACACAACATTTTAACTTCCGATACTATACCGATATTGCAGCCTTCCGTACGAACCGATACCGATATAAATCCGATATCAGCACAAATCTTGAATACTTTTACCTATTTTGTTGAGTGGAGTGTATGAACAGCAAGATCAAACTGAGAACAAAAGTCAGCAAAAGTAAGTATGGAAAACAACAACCAGTTTATTAACTATTGGTTGCATAAATGTAAAACTTTCACATAAGAATATATATAAAGGAATTAAAGAATTAATATGAAGATCCTGAAAAATATCTTAATTGAATAAACAAAAATGCATTTATTAAAGTGCAGACTACTACTTAAAGGTCACTTCAGTTATTTATTTTACCATCAGCAAATGGTAGAAACAGCTGAGAGCAGAAACATAAGAGAAAAAATACTGTAACTGACCAACTGCTGAAGGTTCAGTGTCCAAAGTCTCAATTTCACACACAGCTTCTTGATGAATTTTTGATCCAGTTTCGAGCTGAAACATATCTTTCACACTGGGCAGCAGATATAAGTTTTTGTTAAATTAATAAAAATGTGTTGTATGGTTACTACAAACATTTACGTGATCCGATCTATTTCATCTGTGGTTGTATCATAAGTAGATTATGGCTGTATCAATGCTTCCAAACATTATTAATTTAGTAATAATATATATTGCACATATTATCTAGTCGCAGGAGTTCAAATATTTTAATGGATGCGCAGCTCAATTCGGATCCAAACATACGGAGATGATCGGAACTCAACGCAGCTCTCGGACTCTCTCCATTGGGACTTCAGGTTTGTTGCTTGTCGTGTGCAGTGGAAAGGAGGCTTAACGGAGTTTAGAGGGTATAGGACTGCCTATATCGGAGATTTTTAACGCAGTCTGATATAGTTTTTTGGACTGATATCGGATGAATTTCCCATATCAATATCGGATCGGGACATCCCTAGCCTCAACCAGAGTCCAGACACTAGTCCTGTCTTGTCTTGTATGTTGTGCTCGGCTTGAGTTTTCTCAGCTCGATCACTCCTTTCCTGTCGTTGTCTGTGTTCGTCTTTTGTTTAAACGGCATCTTGGCTGGCTCAGGATGCACACTCTCGTCCTGGTGTGTGTCTTGTTCGCAGCATTGTGTTTTCAATCTCAGAGCTCTGTCTAGTTGGTTTCGGTTGATGCTGGGATCGGTAACATGCATGCGAGTGCATGATAAGTGTTTTAATTATTGTGTACTCTTTTCATGTATTCTGTCTTCGTCTTGGTGTTGTGTAGAGCATGTGGCTCCATGTTTACATGTTGGTCACGTGCTTTAGTGTTGTATTTCATGTGTGCACTTGGTTAATGAGTTCCTTCACTGGCTGTGTGTTCTAGTCCTGTTTTACATGAGCACATGGCTTGTGTTGTTTCTTTGTGTCATGTGATCTCCTGTCTATTGTCTAGTCCCACCCTCCTTGTATAACCCAACCTTGACCCCTCGGTCCTCTCTAATTATCGTCCAATTTCTAATCTACCTTTCATATCTAAATTACTGGAAAGTACTGTTGCTGCCAGTCCATTCTTTTCTAGTTGATAATAATCTCTCGGACCCTTTTTAATCTGGTTTTTGCCTACTCCATAATACTGAAACTGCACATGTAAAGGTAGTGAATGATCTACTGCTTTCCGGTGATTCTGGCTCCTCGATCTCAGCTCTGCTTTTGATACAGTCTCTTATAATTTACTTATCTCACGTCTCTCTGATCTGGGTATTTCTGGTACTGCTCTCTCTTGGTTCTCTTCATATCTCTCAGACAATCCTTCATCTCTGTTATGGATTTTCAGTTACCCACTGTCCCCCTGAAGCGAGGTGTTCCCCAGGGATCTGTTCCAGGCCCACTATTGTTCACAATATACCTAATCCCACTTTTTATTGGCACCTTACCAGCGATATTTCCACCAGTTTCTCCTGTGAGATCGCTGGCTCGCACATTAAAACATCTACTTCTGTAAAAAACGTAGGTGTAATCTTCGACTCCACGCTCTCCTTTCAGTCTCACATTAAATCTGCTATCGAATCTGCGTTGTTTCACTTACGTCGCATTTCCCAACTGCGTCCCTTCATCAGTAGCAAGGATCCTGAGACTGTCATCCATGCATTTGTCTCCTCACGCATCGCCTACTGTAATGCCCTGTTCACTGGTCAGCCTGCCGGCCTCATCTCCAGATTACAGTATATTCAAAACTCTGCGGCTAGAATACTCACTCATGCCAAACGTTCTGCTCATATAAACACAATCTTGTAAGACCTCCAATCCCTCCTTACATTTAAAATTCTCCTTCTTGCATTTAGATCCCTAAATAGCCTAGCTCCCTCCTATCTCTGCAACATGCTTGTCCCCTACACCCTAACTAGCTCTTTACGGTCTGCTGACTCTGGCCTTCTCGCTGTCCCTCGGTACCGCCTCTCTTTAATGGGGGGCAGATCATTTAGTGTTATTGCACCCAAACTCTGGAACTCTCCACCACGCTCACTCCGCTCTGCTAACAATATCTCTGAACTCAAATCCTGACTTAAGACTCACTTATTTTCTGAATGCCTCACTTCTGATCTGCCAAACTGACCACTTTATCTGATCCACATGCACTGTCTGATTGGTGAATCATAAATTAAATAATGCATGAGTAGTCCACACTAGCGAACAGTCCACGTTAATCCCATAAAGGTCATGCTTGGGCTTGCCAGTGCTAGGCCTTTGAGAGTTTGTAAAACGGCAAAACATTGGCCCAAACTAGGCCCACACCTGCCCTGGATGGGCAGGCCCGCTTTAACCTAACAGCTCGATCATCCTCCATAAAGAGTGATGATCAGTGACATTTACAGTTCACAAAAGGAACAAAAACATCATCAAATGTCACTTCAGGAGATCATCTGTAATCAGATGAAAGTCCAGGAACACTTTTGTGTGCCAAAATAATGTAAAAGCATCTTTGTTCACCAATGTCCTCCATATCAGATCAGGGAGTCTGTTTGTGTGTTCAGTGCTGCCTCTAGTGGCAATACGAGATACTTAATAAACATGTGCACAAAGCATTAACATGTTCTTTTAGTGTCTGTAAATGTGACAGTAAGATGTATTCTGGCTGATTACACACTGTATCTTGTGTTATCTAGGACAACATGTTAAACTGTATGATTGTTTCTTACTATCGGAGATGCCACGTAAGAAACACCACCGACGGCAAATACTATAGACACGATTCCAAACAGGAAAGTCCACGCACCGATCATTATCTGCACAGTCTGTGAGGAATAAGAGGGAACAGTGTTAGAAGTACAAGAGTATTTCATGAAGTAAAGCAGAGTAACATGCTGTGTGTTAATGTGTGCTATACTGACATCAAAAATAATTGTCTGGGTTTATTTCTCACCCCGAGGGCTTTTGGTTGGCCTTTCAGAAAGGCCTGAATTCCTTGATGAGGTGAAACTCCTGCTGCATGCTGTATGAAAACAGGCACAGAAGAACTGGTCGCAGTCACAACCGGTGCTGTTGGTGTTGGTGGTTGAGCCTGGATGACATAGGTTGAAGGATTCATGGCTCCGACAGTCGACATTTCAGTTTCAGAGTATAAAATCAACCTGTACAAAATCATAATAAAGCAAAAGAGGATACCATTAGAAATAAGATAGACTTTACACTTTTTTTTGAGGCTTTCTATATTTTATATATGTAAAAATCAAGGTTACATATAAAACTCAAGAGTTCATCCTGAACAATGACGTAAAAGTCACATGAATTCCTGCATACCCGTTCACACTGCGGTCGGATTGCAGAACATCAGATTTGTTTCAGATTTAATACAGGGTTCTTACACCTTTTCCAACTTCAACTTCCAGCACTTTTCAAGCACTTTCAATGAGCATATTTATGCTTTTCCAGCACCTAACAACCGTGGCAAATTACGTTTATATTTGCTGTATGTACTTTCCCACATTTAAATCAATAATTTGTGCTATTTTACAAAACACAACATGACATTTCAACTTAAACTGTTTATAAGAGCCATAAGTTCATTGTTTTATTTATGTTAAATTGATAATAATTTAAAAAGCAACTTGAAAATATTTTACTAAAAGTAATTTAATTTTTAATATAGAGTATATGCTGATGTCACTTCCGGTAAGGAAGATTTTGTGTCATAAAGATGGAAGCGAGACAGTTTTTTGACCGTGTATTATAGTTCAGTTAAGTTGTTATTAAACATGTTCGAAATGACATTACTGGACTGTCTTCTGTTACCCGCGTTCAAATCCTGCTAATTCAAAGAGAGAAACAAAACAAGAAGAGACAGATTGATGGCACATACACTGATGAATACTTGACATTTCAACATAATTTGTTAAATACTTGAGCATAGATTTATTGGGATAGTTCACGCAAAAATAGTAAAAATAATAAAAAGTTCAGTTATTGGATGAAGTATCTCTTTAAGTTTGGTCTCTTCCTACCTAAGGTTGATATCTTAAAAATGAGCTTACAGTCAGATTTTGTTTGAGTGTAGCACCAAACTTTCAAGACCAGACGTTCATGATATTTCATGTGCATTTCTATTTAAAATTCATGTAACAAATTGAATCCTTAAGAGTCTGAGAATATCCTGCTGCAAATTAAAGAACTGTTCCTATGTCAACCGTTTTGAAAATCAGTCAGCAAATATGGAAAGCATAGTTTGTAAGCTTTCATCAATTCATTTATTCATTTTCCTTTCAGCTTTGTTAATCAGGGGACGCCACAGCGGAATGAACCACCAACTTATCCAGCATATGTTTTACGCAGCGGATGCCCTTTTAGCTGGGAAACACCCAATACACTCTTGCATTCACACCGATACTCTACGTCTAATTTAGCTTATTCAATTCACCTATAGCGCATGTCTTTGGACTGTGAGTTGGAAACCGGAGCACCCGGAGAACATGCAAACCACACAGAAATGCCAACTGATTTCTTCTGCTTATCTTGAGCAGCCCTCACATGGCATGGCGTGAATAACATGATCAATAACTTAAATTGGCAAGGAAGTGTCCTTTAGCCACTTAAACTCTGCGGACCCGGTACCGTGACGTCATCGGCTTTCAGATTTAAAGGGCCAGACCCCCGTAAGTGGTGTCGTTTGTAAGTGGGCTTGTACAGCACCTCTCATCAGTTGGAGTACAATAACTTTTGCATAGATTATGGTAGAGACCTTTTTCTTTTTTCCTATGATTACAAACATGTGCAGGAACCACCAACATTATTTACAGCATCTAAATTAATTACAGAACCTAAAAGGTTCACTTTCAAATTTGAGTTTATAGAAAAAAAATAATAATACAAAAAGCGCCTTTTTTAGGTGTTTATTATAACACAGATGACATATACAGTTATTTTAAACACTTTCAATAGTGTTTTATGAAAATTCAAAGGGTTTTTGTTAAAATGATACCACATTTTTGCATTTACACCTCTGCATGTGCATTTGGGAAGCTTCTAAATTTGGGTAGGCAAAATCCAGGCGGAAATCCCCTAATACCAGCAGAGTTTAAGTGGTTAGATTGTTGAGTGTGGGAAAAAATCTGCAATGGAAAATAATGCAAAGATGAAACTGCACTGAACAAAATATGGTGCAAAAATAATAACCAGCTCATCCAGGAGTAGGCCAAACAGGGTAGGTAGGTAGACATATAAGTTAATATTTGCATACGTCCTCTTAATAATAGTAACGGTCTTTTCATGAACTGCAATATTAATTTAATCTTGGTGAAGACAAGCTCTTTTGCGACGATGTACACGCTGCAGTTGCATGACTGACAACATCACGATGATTAAATAAAGGATTAAACAGAACGTCTCGTGCTTAAAATGTGTGGCAAACATGGTTACCTGCAAACTCCTTAACTTACCTCAGGCTTTACAGCGAGTGGCTTTAGTCATTTTCACAGCAAACTTTAACCCACCGGAAGTCTTTTATCCACTCTTGGAAAAGTGTAAATGGTGAATTAACATTTGCCACATGATCACTGATCAGATGTGCTGCTATTTGTAACATTAGGGGTCTCTAAAACTAAATCTGTCAGTGTTATTTTCATTCTCTCTGATCCAGACCTTTTCGCTGCAGTATCTCTCTGTCATCTGAACTAGTTGACTGTTTATATTAACCAATCCATCTGTGGTGTTGCCTACTTTTGATGACACGAGTCGTCTTGCGCAGTTTGCAGTGCACGTTGCTGTTTTGTGTCGGATGGCAAAAAACTAAGCAGCTCAAGACTGAGGTCTAGTGATGTCTCTTGTCAACAATGTATGTGACTCTGACCTTTTTTACCTTATTTTCTTAATCCTTTAAGTACAACTATGGCTGTAAACTTGTACGGCGTGCGGCATCTGAAAGGGCAGGCTGCAAAATGCTTACGCAATGTTACGCATAGTGCGTAAATATTATCGAGCAATTATCGAACTGTCATTATCGTTTTATCGAAAAAAAAAAAATTATCGTGATAATTATCAATATCGAATTATCGCCCAGCTCTACGCCAACATATTTTAAGTACTTTTAAGCATGTAAGATATTGGGCTCTATTTTGACGGTCCATGCGCAAGCACAAAACGCAGGGCGCAAACGCTTTCAGGGCGTGTCAGAATGCATTTTTGCTAATTTAAGGACGGGAAAATCTGCCTTGCGCCGTGGCACATGGTCTAAAAGGGTTGAGTTTATTTTCTTAATGAGTTATAGGTGTGTTTTGAGAATAAACCAATTAGAGTCTCATCTCCCATTCCCTTTAAGAGTCAGCTGCGTCGCGCCAAGAGCGCATTCGCTATTTACAGGACGCAAAGTAAGTCTAAGTGGAAAAACTGAGCATTTCTGGAGCAAACAGTTAACAGAAAACTGTTAAACAGAGCATCTACTGCGTGAGAATGAGAGATAATGGATCTCTTTCACATTCGCTCTTGGATAGAGAAACCTTTACGCACAGACATCAATTAGCCTATAAATAATTAATTTAGTTTGTTAAGCACAAATATTCGTTTAAAAACTATTTCTAAATTCAGCTCTAATTTCCAGCAAACGATTAAATGAACAATAATAATGAAGTGTGCTCAAAAACCTGAGTTATATCCTAAAACACATGCTGCGCCCCATATGGTCTAAAACCTGACAGGTGGACAAATCTAAGCTTGTTTTTAATAAAACAAATATAAATATGGATATAATAAATAATACTGCTAATAATAATAACATTATACAAAAGCAAATTGTTATGAATGAACTGCCTCCCGAGATGAAGAAGACATAAAAGCAGTGGTTTTTCATATTTATGTAGGCTAGAAAATAATGTGTTTTGTAATATTTTAATCCTTTATATTTATATTCTATACTTATTCTTATTATATCCTATATATATCCTTAATATTTAAATTTTTTCATATGTAAAGATATTTGCGTATTGCTCTCTTGTGTGTATTAAGCAGTGTGTAAGCGAGGTGCAACTCTGCGCCGGAGTTTAGACCGGGTTAGTTTTGGTCTAATGAAAAATCTATTATAGTTTCTCAAAATAGCAACGCGCCAGCGGTCCGCCTCAGAACGCCTTCCTTCTTAGACCAGAACGCCTATGGGCGCACATATGAGCGCTAATGCATTTGCTATTTAAACAGCGTAGCGCAACGCCTCAAAACCACTCTTGCACAAAGCTGAAACTAGCAAAAGACTACTGCACCACGTCTTGCGCCACACTGCGCCGGGTGTATGATAGGGCCCCAAGTGTGTATTGAAGATGCTGCTAATGTGTAGTCTTGTGTTGCGCAATTTATGAGGTGTAATGGTCACATGTTATAGAAAAAAATCACAGCTGAAGTTTAAAATGATCTACATCACCTACATTTAAAAAGTCATTCAATTTCCACTTGTTACCAAAAAATTAAAAATAAACACATCCATTATTACGGCGATATAATAAGTACTTTTAAGCATGTAAGGTATTGTCTTAGCAGAAGCAGAATCCTGTTTCCAGCTGTGCTTTCACACTTCTGAAATAATGTTACACAAGCACAGTGTTTTCCAGAAAAAAAAAAAGAGGAAGCAGGAGGAGTTGTGCAATCCTGATGCATGGCAAAGCTGGCCGCCTCCAGGGGTTAATACAGCAAAACACAAGCTGATACATGCCAATATATGCAAATAGTGTAAATTTAGATTTTACATATAGTCATGAGAGAAATCATCAGGGCTCATTTGATTTCAGATATCTCTTGAATTTGCATTAATATAAATGATGTTGAACAGTTCAGGAATTTTTCACAGTATTTCCTGTAATATTTTTTTCTTCTGGAGAAAGTCTTATTTGTTTTATTTCGGCTTGTTGGACTTTTGTCTTCCCCTTAAGTCCTCCCCAGTTCAATGATCAGTCAGGAGTCAATAAATCTAAAATCATGTTTGTGTAAAGTAAGTGAATAAGGTGTAGATCAGGATCCTGGGCTTTGAAGAACTATCAGCTGAGCAGTATAGGACAAGAAAGAAATCAGCTATTAAAAATGAGTTATTCAAGCTATTATGATTAGAAATGTGTTGAAGAAATCTCTCCGTTACACAGAAATTCGGGAAAAAATTTAAATAATTGAAAGTTAACAGGAAGGCTAATAAGTCTGACTTTAACTGTATATAAACACAACTGTATATAAAAAAGTGTCACTTCATACTGAATATGAGACATATCACAGGTCAATCTTGTTTATTGATAAAGAATTATCATACAAAAAAAGAGCCAACTTACAAATTCCACAAAATACAGCCACATGTTCTCCCTCTGTACCTGTACCTAAAGTGATCGCCTGTGCCTCTCCTTTCCTCCTCTTCTGACCGCATAGTCATGACGTTGTCATTGTAGAGGTCCATCTATCAGCCCAATGAGGAAACTAACAGCGTGGCTGAAGGTTTAATGCATGTAAGCCTTTTCTAGCGCTTCTGAAAGGAATTTTTTTTATTTATTAGAATTTATTTATATTCGTTTTTTAGCTTCGAATTTAATCCGACTCCAATTACAAGTGATAATAAACTTTAACCTGTATTTCTATTTGTAAGAACGGATCACATTCATCATTTATGACTTGATTTAGAGTTTTGATTTATATCTGATTCCTTACTCTTCAGTTATACGTTCATTAGGGAACAAACGCCGCTCAGACTTTCACACCCTGGGATTTGCGTGTCTTCTCACAGACAGTATATCGACATCCTAAAGTTAGTCAGAGGATGTAGGGTTAGCTAATACTTAAATAGTCTGGTTGCAAACTGCTCACTCATCCCTAAAAGAATAGCAAATTTACCTAAGCCCAATGCATCTTGCTACTTTCAGCAACTAGTTCTCCATGCTGCCATGCCAAAACGGCTCTGTACAGTCAAATGTGCCTTAAAATGAAAAGTCTAATCAACTGGCACCATTAAGGTAGCACAGACTACACTTAATCTACAGGATATAAATGATTTCAGGAGAATTCAGAATGAATTAACATTTTATTTGTCAGGTAAAATTGTATTCTGCCAATTACATAATAAAACCATCAGAAAGCCAATTCAGAGATGAGACTGTAACAATACAACATCCATTACTCAAAGATAAATCAGAGTTAGAGATGCAGACCTGACCAGAGAAGTATGCTGCAGTACAAGTCTCAGAGATTCTGCAACAGGGGTCTTGGCCACAAGATCCCCCTGATATATGTGCATATTTACCTTAAATACTCAACTCAGAACAGCCATAAATTCAAGACAATAAAAGCGTCGCGAGACCCTCGCCTGGTGAATTTGAGGAGTTAACCATCTCTAAGGAGGGAGAGCATCTGGCAGAGATCTTATCAAAGTCAAAAACCAAATCAACATATATCAGGGAAATATTACAATGACATTAAGACCACTTTACCAATCACACAGATATTTAAAATGATACCAAACATGCCACCTCCCTGCGCGCGCATCCTGAATGTTTACAAACATGGTAATTGGTCTATAGAGCGCTTGGACCCGGAAGCCGATTCGCGTGACGTCACACTTAACAAGCGGATCAGAAAACTTCAGCATTTAAAGTGTCTCTCTAGTTTACCTGTGATCCGATCGAGCAAAAGCTGTCTTATTACCGTGTAAACAGGACAGCATCAGTCATGTTAAGTTCTTAAAATCCTAGCCTTTCACATAGTAATCTTCATAAAGCCTTGAAAAAGCCGCACAGTGCAGCACGCAGGCGCGCAATGAGGAAAACAGACTGACTGCATCTAAAAGGTGCTCATATTACTGCGCCATGATAAGAGATAATATAGATCGCGCCACAAAACACGTGAAAACAAAAGAAACGAGAGTCGTTTAAAAAAGGTAAGGAGTAGAAAGTACAGATATTTGTGTAAAAACGCAAGAAGTAAAAGTAAAAAATAAGTAGTGAAGTATTGATACCAGAAAATCTACTTAAGTACAGTAAGCAAGTATTTGTACTTCGTTACTTCCCATCTCTGTAACAAACAGCACAAGTATATCTCACCTACATTTAAAAAGCCCTTCGAGCTCTTATTATTGTCTTACCAGAAGCAGAGTCCCGTCTTCAGCAGTGCTTTGCGTCTTCGCTCTGTAGCTACTCTGATATACCGTTACACCAGCGCAGTGTTTCCATTGGAACTGTTTCCCAGAAAGCAGGAGGAAGCAGGAGCTTGTGAAATAATGCTGCTTAATTTCCACAACTGGCCACAGTCTCGTGGGTTAACAGCGAAACATGAGAAAGACATGGAAATCTGATATATGCAAATTACATAATTACACTGGATTTAGCATACAGTGCATACACTGTGCAATATTTATTCTTAATTTTATATTAAATTGATATTTAACAGATTCAGGAATTTCTCACAGTATTTTTCAGTATTTCCTATAATATTTTTTCTTCTGGAGAAAGTCTTTTTGTTTTATTTCAGCAAGAATAAAAGCATTTTTATTTTTTTTATTGTTTTTAAGGTCAATATATATATATATATATATATATGTGTGTGTGTATGTATATATATATATATGTGTATATATATATATATATATATATATATATATATATATATGTGTGTGTGTATGTATATATATATATATATATATATATATATATATATATATATATATATATATATATATATATATATATATATATATATATACACATATACATATAAATATAATACATATACATATAATATATACATATACATATAATACACGTAATAACGTTTGATTGGCTGATAGAGTTGTTGTCCCTGCGTTATCATAAATCATGTCGGTCTCAAGACAACTAGCACTTGGCAAAATCAGGGCGAGCGTGGGGGTAGGCGTTAATAAAATACAATAAACTCTAAATTAAATAGATAATATAAATAATTCTCGTTAACTTCATCATCTACACTGATTACGAGGACTGTTTATACACGTCAGTCTCATTCACTCATTTGTTGAGTCTTGTTTCATTACTAAGCATTTGTCTTGGTCTGTTTTCATGTGTTTCTGAGTCTTGCCTTGTTCCTCATTTTGATCCTTTGCTGCCTGTTTTGACCACGTTTACTGGATTACCCTCGTGTTACTGTTTTACTCCTGTATTTAACCATTGCCTGCACAACCTTGTCTTTAATAAACTGCGTTCGCATCTGCAAATCTGTTCTCAGCGTCCACTTCGTAACAGTAAGAGAGTGCTGAAATACGATGAGGGGACGAGGTGTAACCTCGCCGGTCCTACGCCACCCATCCCGCTCCGAGCAGGCATCGAACCGGCGACCTTCCGCATGGGACAATTAGGTTAAAGACCATGGCCTGTAGCGTCTGTCGCTAGAGCACATATAGAGGTCAGAGGAGTGAGGTTTACCTGCACAGCACACACTAGCTGGCCTCCGTTACAGAGGCATGCTGAGAGGGTCCTCCGGTTAAAAAAAAAAAATGGACAAGAGTGTTTTGTTTAAGTCAGATCACTTCCAGTCTGAAACAAGGGGGCCCTCACGGCAGGAAGAAAAAAAAAGGAATGTTTTTAATTATGACGACCCATACTTGGTATTTGGGCTATGCATCCAAGTGCACACACACACACGCCTGGACAGTTGGGAGTTTGGTGATGTTACTCAAGGGGAAAGAGAGTCCCTGGAACTTCTCACACCTAAAATCCCTGCCGGTGCTGGGACATCAACTTTCTAACCATCAGTCCACGGCTGCCAGTAGATAGATATTAATAGATTAATACCTGCTACATGCACTGCAAAATAATGCTTGTTTCTAGTCCAAATATTTCAAAATTCTTAAAGAGCCCATATTATACATGAAATAGGGTCATATCTTGGTTGTAAGGGTCTCCAACAACAGTCTAATATGCACGCAAGGTCAAAAAACACTGTCATGGTCTTATAATCTGCATTTGTTTTTACCTGATTATCCCAGCGACTCCTGTATGAATCGTCCAGTGATTCATTTGTTCCCAAACCCCTCCTTAGCGCGAAGCTAATCTGCGCTGATTGGACCGATGACAGTCTGTTGCGATTGGTCGACTGCCTTCAGTCAGAGACAGAGTGAAATGCCCAACAGCTAATCAGCAATATAAAAGTAATCACAGTTCATACACGCTCGATAGTGTAGGCGTGGAGTTTAGCTGCCAGTGGGTCAATGTAAATACAGACGATGGACTTGAAAATACAGACGACTGACTATTTTATTGAGCAAAAACTGTCGAGGAGATCTCCTAGCTTGTCTCACTCTGCTCTTTTCACAGACACACACACATATTGCCCTCGTCTTTGCACGCGCACACACACACACACACACACAAACACACACACATAACTCCGGACGACAGCGCGCGCACACACGCACGCACACCCTACCCTCGTCCACGGAGCTCCGTAAACAAAGCAGCACGCGTTTTTAACGTGACTTTGCACGCGATAAGAGAATATAGCCAGTTAACCTGATACAGTACACGCGGTTACAAGTAACAAATCACAACTAAATACATTTGCAAGCCAGAGTCAACAACTTTAATCGCACGTACATCATTAATCCATCCTGACGTCCATCAGTAAGTTACTCTTTACTGATCCTTCCTTTAACAAACGCAGATGAAGTATTCTTTGTAGCATGTAGTTTGCAGAAGTTTCCAACTGCTTGGTTATAATGCTGAGGTTTCATCTTTGGGTAGAGACTCGATAATATCCTTCAATCGACCGGCATGTGTTGGTTTCTATGTCAGAGGGCGGGGCCACAGGTTTGAAATCTCCCGGGTTTGCGCGTGCACGTGAATAACTTGGTTTCGTTAGTACGTCATGACGAAACACCTAATGACTCGGTATCAAGGCGACTGGTTTGAAGCACTATGAGTCGACTCTTTTATAGATGAATCAACCGTTTTAAACACTAATCTTACAGATTTAAGCCTTAGCTGGATACTTCACTTCACTTAGAGCTGTGTTACACACTACATGGAGGGGAATTTTCAAAAACCCATAATATAGGCTCTTTAAATCAAGAAGCATTTTCTTGAGAAACAGCCAGGGACTTGGAGCAAATTTGATCATGCACATTGGGTTCTAAGCACAGCTAGAGGCCAACGATAAACTTCCGGTGAAAGCTTAAATGTGAGCATTTTCAATTTCACAAGGTTGTTTTAACAGCATTGATGTTATAATGTGATTACAATACAGTCAGTTAAATAGACGTAAGCGTTCATTTAGTTGATCAAGCGTAAAATTAGAAAGATGGTGTAACCACAAACGCCGTCAGTGTAGCAAAAGGCAAAAAATTCCCTTGAAAATACTGGGGAAAGTCTAGACCGGATACGCGGCCTGCTGGATGTGCGCTATCCACATCAATATGGCAGCATTTGTATGACACTGTATAACAATAGGTGACACAGTGGCGCATTAGGTAGTGCTGTCACCTCACAGCAAGAAGGTCGCAGGTTCGAGCCTCGGCTGGGTCAGTTGGCGTTTCTGTGTGGAGTTGTTTAGTTAAAGTTGGTGATCGACTCCAGGAAGAGTTGGTGATCGACTTCAGGAAGAAACGCCCCACTTATTCCCCTGTATATATTAATAACACTGCTGTGGAGACTGTACAGCAGATAAAATTCCTGGGGGTCCATGTTACTAATAACCTGACTTGGTCTCTCCATACCACTTGTCTTGCGAAGAAAGCGCACCAGTGACTGCACTTTCTGAGAAGGTTGAAAAGAGCACATCTCAGCCAATCAATCCTCACAACTTTTTACAGAGGAGCTGTTGGGAGTGTTTTTACAAATGGCATCTCCCTTTGGTATGAGAATAGCAGTGTGTCTGATAAGAACACCATTAAGAGGATCATAAAGTCAGCTGAAAGGTCTGTTGGAGTCAAAATGACATGTATCGAGGAACTTTACCAACACCGTTGTCTGTCTAGGGCAAATAACATTTTAGGGGATCCAACCCACCCTGTTCATAGCCTGCTCTCACTCATGCCATCAGGCAGGCGTTACAGAAGTCTGAGGAGCAAATCAGTGCGGTTTCGAGACAGTTTTTATCCTGTCATTATAAGACTTTTAAATAATACCATTTCTTAAGCATTGTTGAAAGCTAGTGTTAAATAATAAATAAATTTGTTAAACTAGCATAAATTGTTAATATTACAACAAATGGTGAAATAGGTATTTAAGTATTAAGTTATTCTCTTCAGAGATTTTTAAAAAATGGGTTATATCTTATATAATTATATTTTTCATATTTTATGGAATTATAAAAGCTTATTTATTATGTTAGGATTTTATAGTGTTTTATAGTGATGTTTTTTCTGTTCTTGTTGGGTCTGTTGCAACGTAATTTCATTCTGCATTACAATTCTATTGTGATGATTTGAATGACATAAATAAAGGAAACTGAAACTGAAACTGAAACTAAATGTGAAGTTGAATAAATATTATAAATTATTCTTGTTAACTTCCGACTGCAACTGTATCCGATCTAGCAACAACCAAAATACCGGGTAAAACAAACTTGTATTTTAAAGACATGGCAAGGGAAACACACTTTAATGCAGTGCTTCTTGTCTGATCTGAGACCCACTTCATATCGTATAGCTAACAGGCTGTGAGGATCACTGAATTTTAAAGAAATCAGATCTTAAACGTGACAATTTTGAAATGGAAAGTTAAACAGAAGCCCTTGGGCTGCCTGGCTGAAAAGTCTGTGTGCATATCACCCATTAAGCTAACACAGCAGATGTTGCATTACAATTTGTATAAATTATTATATAGGATAACCTGTCAAATAATTTAAATATTATGTAATTTTTTGTTATTGGTCTTTAGTTTTTAAAGTTAGTTATACAAATCAAAACAACTAATTGGAGATTTACATTCTCTTGTCCCTTTGGAGAAATAGTTCCTCTTTACTCATGAGTGCATTTTTAATGAGGTATTGTTTTACTTTTACTTGAGTCGATTTATAGACATGAAACTTCACTCTTACTTAAGTAAAAGAACTGTTCCTTACAAAATGTTTTTCTTGAGTACAAGGTTTTATTATTCTTTCCACCTCTGCAAATAACATTTGAAAAATACATACAAGTAGTAGAAAAACTCACAAAAATACACATGTAAAATACACAGTGATATCTATGTTGATGACTATAATAATCACTTTACACATCATCTGATGATGTGCATTATTCAGATCAGATACACAAGAAAACCAGAATCACCACAGCTTCAAAGCAGCAGAACCACCGCTCTGCCCAGTTTTTACATATCGATTCACATTAATTTGCCTGAAGCGTACGCTGGGGGAGCTTCTGCAGGAGGACATTGAAAGTACTCCTGGGGGATTCCTTGAGGGTATTGAATGTACTGTTGGGGGATTTCTGCAGGAGGGTGTTGAATTAAAGGGTCTCTGTCCTCTGGAATCTGCAGGATAAAGTGTACATGGTCAGCTTAAGTTATTGATCAGTGTTTAACAATTATTGCTCCATTACCCAGTTCCTCACACGTTTACAGCACACATTAAACTTTATTTTTTACTTCACAAATCATTAATTCACACATTGCTGTAATGTGATTTGTGTGTGAATACAGAACATTTGATTTAAACAAAACAAAAAGAAAAACATGTAGTTGGTTTCTGTCTGGTCTGCATGAAATCCAGATTTACTATGTTTTGCTAGCGCACATTGTTAGTCCTGATAAGAACAATTCTGTCATCATCACAGGCTGATTGGTCACCTAATCGGCTCCTACATCATTAACTACATGGCACAGGAGATCGGTTGCTGTCGCCTCAACAGACAATTGTCTTCGTAATCTTTAATCAAAATGGTGAAATTATTAAATAAGTCATCATATTTAAATAAAAGTCTGCAGCAACTTCTGGTTCACATGGACTTTAAGGGTATGAACATTTAAGAGTGAAGAATTACAGACAGATATTGGGTTTGTTGGTTCTTGTGAAATCAGAACCTCAAGCCTTAAAAGTAGCTTTATCCTTTACTCCTACATTTATCTGATGGGTTCAGCTGATGTATTTCTCACCTTAGGTTTACAGCAGCAGGCGACTTTACAGGCAAACGCAGACAGGGAGATGGAGATGCAGAACTCAAGGATGGAGAACAGCAGAAAGATACCATTGATTCCTAAAACAATAGTCTGAGAGAACATTCAACATGAGCATAAAGGATAACAACAACGAGAAGAAAAAAAATCTGTAGTCCTTTAGGTATACTGATGAAACTAAACAGAGTTTAAAAGTGATGTTTAAAGGTTCCATAGGATAAAAATCTGGACATACCCAAGTAAACATTTTCAGTCTGAAAATGGCACACCTTGAACCTCAAACACCCTTGTTTCCTCATTGTCATGTAAATCATGTGAGTGTAAACCTAAAACACTGACTCTTAGGCCCCGGTTACACTAGTGCGCTTTAATTTGAAAGCGCATACATTTCGCTATGGTTGCGCCATCCATCCACACTACGCCGGAGTTTTTGAGTCGCGAAAGCAAAGTGTTTAGGAAACGCTGGAGGCTGTTTTCATTCTAAAGCGTTGCTGCTCCGTCTCAGTGTGGATGGGGGAAAATGAAGACATCTGAAAACAAAGGCAGAGCTGCAGACATTCGCCTCTCTGATTGGGGCTTTTCCTCAATATTAAGTAGCCTACACACACTTCAGTTCTGCATCCTCTACATGTAGGTTCAGACTTCACAAGTTTGATATGGAAAACAAACTCCTGAGTGTCATTTATAAAGTCATTCACATCACCCTGGCTATACTGTTTCACTGTCTTAACAATAAACTGAAAAGATGATGCGAGGAACTGCTATTTTCACTTTGATATTAGCCACTTAACAGACAGCAGAAATGTTGAGGCGTCGTGTAGCTGCTTAACATGAGAGTCATCTTCATGCATATTTATAACAAAACGGTGCCTTTAACATCACTGCCTCCTTTCCTTTTCATTGACAATACGAAACATAGTCTCTCTTTCACTGAATATCTGTTTTATTAATCAATAATGGCCATTATAAAAGTATAACGTACAATAAGTTTATTCAATAGAGAAAAAAGGCAAGCAATCAGTTGATTGTGCAGAATTGGTGTCTGCGGTTACGTTACTTAAGATATTAACCTAACTTATACTTGCGCTCAGCCAAAACACGTTACCTGAGAACAAGTAATAGATTCAAAAGAGCAAAGTCGGGGAATATGTTTTTAGATAAAGACAACAAGATGAATTAAATATCACGTTTAATAAATATAGTGAGATTAGATCCAACGAGAGATCCTTAATGAACAGTCTGAACAGTCTAGAGCTCTCAAATGGGTATGAGCTCAAAGCACACTGCAGCGCATGCTAGAGTGTGTGTGTGTGTGTGTGTGTGTGTGTGTCTATGGTCATGTGTGTGTCTCCTCCGGGGGCAGCGCTTGCAGGCTCACTACCTGGTTTCTAAATGGTGTGGTAGGAACCTTGGGCACGTAACCCGGGCGGGGTCTCAGGATAACGTGAGAGTAATCCAGCCCGAATTCCAGGCACGAGTCACTGACCGAAAATCTTGTTTCCTCACTGCCTCCAGGTCCCCGACCCTCTTAATAGAAGCCAACGCGACCAGCAGAACTGTCTTCAAGGACAGAAATCTTAAAGATATTGAGTCAAGTGGCTCAAAGGGATCTGAACGCAGGCTCGTGAGAATGAGGGCGAGATCCTAAGAGGGCATGAGGGGGGGGCGGGGTGGATTAATTCGCCTAGCACCTCTGAGGAACCGGACGATGAGGTTATGCTTTCCCACGGTGCCGCCAGCCACCGCGTTATGAGAGCGGAGATGGCAGCCACGTAAACCTTGAGTGTGGAGGGCGACAGCCTGCTATCCAGCTTCTCCTGAAGGAAAGAAAGCACAACGCTGATCCGGCAATTTTGGGGGTCTTCTCTGCGAGAGACGCACCATTCAATGAATAGACTCCACTTCAGGGCGTAGGCGCGCCTCGTGGAGGGGCCTCTAGCCTGAGTGATGGTATTAACCACTGCAATCGGTAGGTTACCCAAGTCTTCCTTGCGTCTAAAGACCACATATGGAGGTTCCAAAGATCGTGGCGAGGGTGCCAGATGGTGCCCTGTCTATGAGAGACAGGCTGGACGGTTGAGCTTGCCAGGAATGTGAATGGTGCGCAGCGATTTCAGCCGCGGATGACTCCAGAGGAGCAGACGGCGGGCGAGCTGAGACGTGGCGGGAGCGAATACCCCCATGCGGTTGATATACGCCACTGCCGCCGTGCTGTCCGTCCTGACCAGCACGTGTTGCTGCTCCAGCACCGGAAAAAAACGGTGGAGAGCGATGAACACTGCCAACAGCTCCAGGCGATTGATGTGCAAATGCAACTGGGTTCCTTTCCACAGGTCCGCAGCTGCATGCCCGCAGCACACAGCCCCCCAGCCCGTGTTGGAAGCATCTGTTGAGACAACAACATGACTGGACGCCTGTCCTAGAGGCACTACGGCCTGTAGAAACGAGGGATCGTTCCAAGGGCTGAGGGTGCGGCAACACAGCGCAGTAACAGAAACCTGGTGTGTGCCCGCATGCCATGCGCGTCTGGGGACTCGATGGTGAAGCCAGTGCTGGAATGGTCTCATATGGAGTAATCCGAGCAGCGTGACGGCGGCTGCAGATGCCATATGCCCCAGGAGCCTCTGAAAATAATTTCAGTGGAACCACAATTTTGCCGTCGAGCTCTCTCATACAGTTCAGCATCAGCCAGTCGTCGAGATAATTGAGTATGCGGATGCCCGCGAGCCAAAGGGGCGCTAAGGCTTCCTCCGTTAGTTTGGTGAAGACCCGCGGAGACGGGGAGAGCCCGAAGGGAAGGACTTTGTATTGCCATGCCCGACCTTCCAACGAAAACCGCAGAAACTGACGGTGGCAGGGAAGAATGGAGACATGCAAATACGTGTCCTTCAGGTCTATAGCTGCAAACCAATCCCGAGGACGAACGCACCAGAGGATGCGCCTCTGCGTGAGCATTCTGAACGGCAGCTAGTGCAGACAGCGGTTCAAAACGCGCAGATCTAGTATTGGCCGTGAACCTGTGTGGGCTGTAAAATCCGCTCTCTATCTCGGCTGGAGGGACCGACTCGATTGCATCCTTCGCCAGGAGGACAGTAATCTCCTCTTGCAAGACAGGGGCGGACAGGGGGCTGACCCTGGTGAAATACACACCCATGAACTTGGGGGGCCGTTTCGCGAACTGGATCACATAGCCGAGTCTGATTGTGTGTATGAACCACCGCGAAGGGCTGGCCTGTGCTACCCAGGCAGGCAGAGCTCTCGCTAATGGACTCATCGCTACAATCGCTGACGTACCAGCAGTGGGGCAGCACGAAGTGGGTGTGCTGATCCGGGAGTGCGAGGGTCCCGCGGAAGAGCTGGAAGCGAGAAACTGGCTCTCACTCCGCACCCTAACTCCGGAGGGGAGGCATGAGGGGTGGGAGAAAGGAGACCGTCCCCCCCAGCGCTTGTGAGCCACTGGTGAAGCGCACAGAGCCTGCAAGCTGGGAAGCAGAGCGTTTATCCCCCAGCTCTGCGGCCGGACTTACTAGATGGGTGTTACGTAGAGGACCAGAGGGCGAAGCCTTTAAAGCCTCTCCTCCCCTTCTTCCCGGAGGTGCACAGTAGGCTCACGCAGTCTTGGAGGGCACCTTTCTCTGCCCGTGCTGCAAGTAAATTCACTGATAGCATTGAAGTTCCCCATCCGAAGGGGAACTAGGAGAAAGTTTTCCTCTTGTGCTTGAACTAGATCTGACAGTTTATAATGGCTTTAACACACACTTTTCAAAGTTGTGTGTCACAAAAACACTCCGTAATCCACTTAAACGCTATTGAATCCCATTTTCAGAGCGCAAATTATCACCTCCGTAAACGCTGTAAACGGAAGTTCTAAACAATCTACCTGTAGACGCTGGTCGCTTTGGCGTCCTCTATGCAGCAGCCAAGTAAAAGGTCTGTAGGAGGATCACATTAACTAGCCATTTTGCGAACTAGTGCAAAGTGTGCCTGACAAGAGTTGTGTTTGGAGGTGGGCGGGTGTGTGCGTGATATGTGAACAGGTAGGTTATTGAGATTGGCTGTTCTGTCTCAGGGTCCTGGGTGGTTGGGGCAATGGGGGCGGAGCCAGCACGAGCAGGCTGACAGTGACACAGAAGGCAGCAGGATTGTAATTGAGTGCATGCTTAATAAAGTGATATTCTGACTTCAAAAGCGATGGTCTACTGTTTAACATGACAGCGGGAAGGCAGCATGTTATCTGCCACGTCATTTAGGATGCCATGTTGAGCGTTGTTACACTGAAAACATATTTTGTACTTAATCTCTTTTATCTTTTTAGATGTTAGCCTGAATCGAATTGTTCGGTTTGCAATACGTACCGAACCGAAAGTCTCGTACCAAACGGTTCAATACGAATACGCGTATCGTTACACTCTTAATATATATATATATATATATATATATATATATATTCATGAACAAGTTAAACAGTGTATCAATGCATTCTATGGCACCTTTAATTTCAATATTTTATATTTTATTACAGTGTAAATAAACAGTAATATCTTGTGAAGTTGTGAAGATGAGTGCAGATTACACTTGTTTTTTTTTTTTTTTTTACAAGTGCACCAGTCACACAGTGATCTTACTGTAATTATAAAATAAAACAATACAAAAATGATATCAATATATAAGTTGATGACACATACCGTATCTTCATAACAATGGAAGTCTGTGCACTGACTGATAATGCGACCAAAAGCCAAACCCAATGAAAGCATAATAATGGAACTGCCCGCAGCTATAGCACTGAAAATGTTCATCCCGAGGGAAGCTCTCACCTACAGTAGACACACAGAAATAGAAAGGTTTTGTATCATGTTGTGTTAACACACTGTGGTTAAGCAGATGATAGATTATATGGAAAGTGATCAAAATGAATTGATAAATGAATACAATACAGGATCTAAGCACCAAAGACTCGTGTATGAGTAAAGGCCGGCTCACACAGTGGGATTGTTTATAATCCTGAACGATTGTAGCATGTCAGACTGCACGAACATGGCGCTCATGTCACACTGTAAGATCTCAGCTGTCATAAAGTCAGACTGAACGACAATGAAGACGCGCCAAACACGAAAGAAAACACCCCCGGAGTTTGACGTCATCCACCCGTGACACTTTCACTATCCCGCGTTCTAAAATGATCCCTCACAGCAAACATAAACATCACATGGATTGCATCATCAGATTCTGAGCTTCTATTGGTTCTTGGATTGACGCTCATCACAGCTGTTGTCACACTGCAGGAAAGTGTCTGAAATCTTCTGACACTGCCAGAACTTCATCAGAGGAAAAATCTGATCACAACGGGCACGAATCGGCTTCTGTGAACAAGTCAAACCAACGATCAAAGATCACAGATTTTAGCCTGGGATTTCAGGAATCTTTTAGGATTGATAAATGTCAAAATCGTGGCTGAAATCTCACAGTGTGAGCAGGGCTTTAGTGATTACATGGAAAGTCTGTGTTCAATACTCTATTAGCACAGAAAAAAGAATATTTATGCATAAATCCTTACACACCAAATTTTACAAGTGCCCATTGCTTAAATAAAAAGAACAAGTGTTGTGTACATACCAAACATAAAGCAGATGGTGAATTAATTTTGTTTTCAGCAGCAATGGAGAGCGAACCTGCAGTAATGTACTGAGAACAGAGAGAAGAGCAACACTTAAAAGCTTATGTTGTATATACATGGTACTCAACCAGAATGTGCATTTTACTGCGTAATGAACCAGACACTAGTCCTGTCTTGTCTTGTATGTTGTGCTCGGCTCGAGTTTTCTCAGCTCGATCACTCCTCTCCGCACGTTGTCTGTGTTTGTCTTTTGTTTAAATGCCATCTTGGCTGTGCTCAGAATGGTGGCTCTCATCCTGGTGGCTCTGTCTAGTTGGTTTCGGTTGATGCTGGGATCGGTAACATGTATGCGAGTGCATGATAAGTGTTTTAATAATTGTGTACTCTTTTCATGCATTCTGTCTCGTCTTGGTGTTGTGTAGAGCATGTGGCTCCATGTTTACATGTTGGTCACGTGCTTTAGTGTTGTATTTCATGTGAGCACTCGGTTAATGAGTTTTTGCATTGGCTGCTTGTCCTAGTCCTGTTTAACCTGAGCACATGACTTGTGTTGTTTATTTGTGTCATGTGATCTCCTGTCTATTGTCTAGTTCCAACCTCCTTGAATAACCCAACCTTTACCCCTCGGTCCTCTCTAATTATCGTCCACTTTCTAATCTACCTTTCATATCTAAATTACTGGAAAGTACTGTTGCTGCCAGTCCAGTCTTTTCTAGTTAATAATAATCTCTCGGACCCTTTTCAAGCTGGTTTTCGCCTCCTCCAGATTACCGATACTGCACTTGTAAAGGTAGTGAATGATCTACTGCTTTCTGGTGATTCTGGCTCCTCGATCTCAGCTCTGCCTTTGATACAGTCTCTTATAATTTACTTCTCTCACGTCTCTCTGTTCTGGGTGTTTCTGGTACTGCTCTCTCTTGGTTCTCTTCATATCTCTCAGACAGACAATTCCTCATCTCTGTTAAGGATTTTAAGTCACCCACTGTCCCCCTGAAGCGAGGTGTTCCCCAGGGATCTGTTCTAGGCCCACTATTGTTCACAATATACCTAATCCCATTTGGACTGATTTTACAACGTCACGGTATAAACTATCATTTTTATGCAGATGATATTCAACTTTACTCTGTTTGTACACGTACCTCATCCGCCCAAATTGATAATATCTCTGCTTGTGTGAAGGATATTAATGATTGGCTAACCTCAAATTCCCAGAAACTCAACATGGACAAAACTGAGATGATTTTTATTGCACTTACCAGCGATATTTCCACCAGTTTCTCCTGTGAGATCGCTGGCTCGCACATTAAAACATCTACTTCTGTAAAAAATTTAGGTGTAATCTTCGACTCCACACTCTTTTCAGTCTCACAGTAAATCTGCTATCAAACCCGCATTCTTTCATTTACGTCGCATTTCACAACTGCATCCCTTCATAAGACTTCCATTAGAAGTCTTCCAGTCTTCCAGCATCCAGTAGCAAGGATGCTGAGACAGTCATGCATGCATTTGTCTCCTCACGCATCGCCTACTGTAATGCCCTGTTCACTGGTCAGCCTGCCGGCCTCATCTCCAGATTACAGTATATTCAAAACTCTGCGGCTAGAATACTCACTCATGCCAAACGTTCTGCTCATATAACCACAATCTTGTATGATCTCCAATCCCTCCTTACATTTAAAATTCTCCTTCTTGCATTTAGATCCCTAAATAGCCTAGCTCCCTCCTATCTCTGCTAGATGCTTGTCCCCTACACCCCAACTCGTTCCTTACGTTCCGCTGACTCTGGCCTTCTCGCTGTCCCTCGGTACCGCCTCTCTTCAATTGGGCGCAGATCATTTAGTGTTATTGCACCCAAACTCTGGAACTCTCTCCCACGCTCACTCCGCTCTGCTAATAATATCTCTGAATTCAAATCCTGACTTAAGACTCAACTATTTTTTCTGAATGCTTCGCTTCTGATCTGCCAAACTGACCACTTTATCTCTTTATCACATGAGCACGGGGAGAACGTGAAAACTCTGCACAGGAACGTTTGCTGGCTTGGTAAGAACTAGAACAGTGACGTTCTTGCTGCGAGGCAACAGTGCTAACCACTGGGCCACCGTGCCACCCATCTAGGAAAGGAGGAGATGTAAGGGTGGAAGGGGGGATTCTTCAAAACGAAGATGGCTGTTATGTGGAACTTAGGTCATTTATAGTGGCTTTGGAATTATCTGATTGGTGAATCATCAATTAAATAGTCCACTCTAGCGAACAGTCCACGGTAATCCCATAAAAGCCGTGCTTGGGCTTGCCGATTCGGACCCAGAGTTAGGACTTTGAGTTTGTTAAACGGCAAAACATTGGCCCTCACCTGCCCTGGATGGGGATGCCCCACTTTAACCTAACAGCTTGATCATCCTCCATGAAAAGTGATGATCAGAGACGTTTAAAATTCACAAAAGGAACAAAAACATCATCAAATGTCACTTCAAAGTCCAGGAACACTTTTGTGTGCCAAAATAATGTAAAAGCATCTTTGTTCACCAATGTCCTCCATATCAGATCAGGGAGTCTGTTTGTGTGTTCAGTGCTGCCTCTAGTGGCAATACGTGATACTTAATAAACATGTGCACAAAGCATTTACATGTTCTTTTAGTGTCTGTAAATGTGACAGTAAGATGTATTCTGGCTGATTACACACTGTAGCTTGTGTTATCTAGGACAACATGTTGAACTGTATGATTGTTTCTCACTATCAGAGATGCCACGTAAGAAACACCACCGGCAGCAAATAATGTAGACACGATTCCAAACAGGAAAGTCACCACACCGATCATTATCTGCACAGTCTGTTAGGAATAAGAGAGAACAGTGTAAGGAGAACAAGAGTATTTCATGAAGTAAAACAGAGTAACATGCTGTGTTAATGTGTGCTATACTGACATCAAAAATAATTGTCTGTTTTTTTATTTCCTCACCCCGAGGGCTTTTGGTTGGCCTTTTAGAAAGGCCTGAATTCCAAGAAGAGGTGAAACTCCTGCTGCATGCTGTATGCGCACAGGCACAGAAGAACTGGTTGCAGTCACAACCGGTGCCATTTGTGTCGGTTGTTGAAGCTGGATGACATACGATGAAGGATTCATGGCTCCGACAGTCGACATTTTAGTTTCAGAGTATAAAACCAACCTGTACAAAATCATAATAAAGCAAAAGAGGATACCATTAGAAATAAGATAGACTTTACATTTTTGAAGCTTTCTATATTTCATATATGTAATAAAGCTAGTTTATATATTAAATGTAAGAGTTCACCCTTAGCAGATGAGTGAAAAATGTTGTAAAAGTCGCATGAATTCCTGCATACCCGTTCACACTGCGTTCAGACTTGTATCAGACTGAATACAGGGTTCTTACCAAGGCCCGCCCGCGGCATGGGCAGTATAGGCAAATGCTAAGGGCGCTGTACATCCAGGGGGGCGCCAGAAATGAGCGCGGTAAAGTTGGTTTTGATATTCCTGACACACATTCAGTGATAGACGGCAATAACTCAAAACCTTTTACCCTAAAAAGATCTAAAGTGTGTTTCCTACAAAAAGACAAAGCAGGTTATGTTTCACAGCTGTCTTATTCTTTTTTTGCTCGATATTACGAGCACTGCTCTGTTCAAGCCCTCGCAATATGCGTTTAAACACAACAAATGTTCTCTTAAATGAGCACAGTTACTAAAGCAGTCGAATGCTTCATTATTGACCTTATTCTCCGCAGACGAGCGGGCGCTGCCATTTGAATCTTTTTGGCTCGAGACTTCAGGTCTCATTTACTTCCATTCATTATTAGACATTAAAAACTGCTCGTTTCACTGTTTGATGTTGCAAACTGATATTTCCTTGTTGTATTATTCTACTTGGTCTGTATAGTCATGCAAACATTTGTTTGTAGAGCAAGTAGTTTGACCCGTTTTTGCCGTTTATTATTCCTTGTCATTTCTCCCATAGGCGACTGAAACGAAAGTTCTAAGACAATCGCGAAAACAGGCGCACTTCCACATTTTAGAATAAGCTCAATAGATCTGTGCATTCTTACATTAACTCAACTTTTATCAAACAAAACACAATGAGGGATTCCTCTGCTGCTCTTCACTAAATGACTATAGTAACTTTAATCAATATGCAAATACAATAAAAAGTGAAGTCGATTTTATAGCTTTATTTATTTCTGGATAGGCCGTTGATTTTAATAGGCTAAACCTTTTATTTTATTGTCAATATTTTCTAATGTTTGCTATGTATTCTATCATTTGAAGCTATTTGTTGTCCCATATTTTTTACATCCCAACGTTGAAAGATTTCTAATCAATAAATAGCTATAGTGCTATCTGTTAGTTTTAACGTCAGCTAATGTTATTGAAGGGCAGAGATGTTATGGAAAATAGTAATAGTAATGTAACTACCTCGATCATTCCTTCCTCAAGCAAATGTGTAAATATTACATCTATTCAGCGATGACGTTAATAGCATTGGCATATTTATCTGACGTTTTCCCAGCTTGTAGTAGTCGATCAAAAAGCTATTTAGTTTCTTATGACTATACACTAACAGTGGAGTTTACTGCGATGTGACCTGATATCTTGCCTTGGGTGCCAAATTGGTTAGGGCCGGGCCTGGTTCTTACACGTATTCCAACTTCAAATTCCAGCACTTTCAAGGTGCATGTCTTTGGACTGTGAGGTGAAACCAGAGCACCCGGAGAACCGTACGACTCCCCCTGGATACGTGTGTGTGTGTATTTTTGAGACTTTGCTGGCAGAGTCAGGACTACTCTCACGTATCCAGGGGGAGTCGTACGGGAAAGAGGCTTTGCACATTCTCATTCAGAATGAACTCGCAAGTGTTAAACATTCAAAACTTTTTGTACACTCCTATACATTTGCAAATGGTGTTTTGCATTTGTGAAATGTATTTTATTAAAAAGTATTTTTATTTTGTGCACGTGAAATTTTTTTGTGAATATAAACGCACGCACGTGAATTTGGTTTTATGCACGTGAATTTGGCTACGCATGTGTACATCGTGTCTTTTGCGTGAATTTCTTTTGAGACTAATCTGATTCCATACAGACGTGTTTCACAGTGTAAAACCAGTGCAAAATCTCCAGTTCAACTGTGTATTGTGGACGCTGCTTATGTGTAGTCTTGTGTAAATTTCTAGCGTAATTTATGAGGCGTAATGGTCAAATGTGTAAACAATGGAAAAAACACAGCTCAAGTTTAAAATGATCAACATCACCTACATTTAAAAAAGCCAAACAAGGTCCACTTGTTACCAAAAAAGGAAACATATTCATTATTATTTTAGAAAACGCCGACATAATAAGTACTTTTAAGCATGTAAGGTATTGTCTTACCAGAAGCAGAATCCTGTTTCCAGCTGTGCTTTCACACTTCTGAAATAATGTTACACAAGCACAGTGTTTTCCAGAAAAAAAAGAGGAAGCAGGAGGAGTTGTGCAATCCTGATGCATGGCAAAGCTGGCCGCCTCCAGGGGTTAATACAGCAAAACACAATCTGATACATGCCAATATATGCAAATAGTGTAAATTTAGGTTTTACATATAGTCATGAGAGAAATCATCAGGGCTCATTTGATTTCAGATATCTCTTGAATTTGCATTAATATAAATGATGTTGAACAGTTCAGGAATTTTTCACAGTATTTCCTGTAGTATTTTTTCTTCTGGAGAGAGTCTTATTTGTTTTATTTCGGCTTGTTGGACTTTTGTCTTCCCCTTAAGTCCTCCCCAGTTCAATGATCAGTCAGGAGTCAATAAATCAAATTCAAAAATAAATCAAAAATCATGTTTGTGTAAAGTAAGTGAATAAGGTGTAGATCAGGATCCTGGGCTTTGATGAACTATCAGCTGAGCAGTATAGGACAAGAAAGAAATCAGCTATTAAAATGAGTTATTCAAGCTATTATGATTAGAAATGTGTTGAAGAAATCTCTCCGTTACACAGAAATCCGGGAAAAAATGTTAAAGAATTGAAAGTTAACAGGAGGGCTAATAAGTCTGACTTTAACTGTATATAAACTATGTCATATTTGAATTTTATAATTCCAACTATGTGTGTGTGTGTGTGTGGGGGGGGATTTGTAAGTGAAGAGCGCTGGAGAAGTGGGGTTAACGAGTAGTGATGTGCGATACCACTGGCATCCCAGTAAAATGAAGGAGAGTATCGGCGATACCGATCCGATACGATACTTTGCCCAAAAATTACTGTTTGGGAAATAAAAGTAACAAGTAGTGTACTTAAAAGTGTCACTTCATACTGAATGCAAGACATGTTACAGGTCATTCTTGTTTATTTATAAAGAATTATCATACAAAAAAAGAGCCAACTTACAAATTCATCATCACAAAAACCCAAGCCCCCAAAATACAGCCACATCGCCACATGTTCTCTCTCTGTAGATAGTAGGGCTGAAATAACAAATTGATTAAATCGATAAAAATCAATTACTAAAAGCGCTGGCAACGAATTTCATTATCGATTCGTTGTGTCGCACGACACAAGAGACGTTTGATTAAAAAAAAGAACGTGCGGAGAGAACACGGCTCCTTTCTGTCTCTCGTGCGAGTTCAGCGCCTCAAAGAAGACAGAGATGATGCGGAAGAATCACTACAGAATCCTGCTTTTGTTCCAATTTAAAGTGAGAACCGCAAAGTCCCTGGTGCTGGTGTTTTTGTCTGGCGCCGAGCCAGAGAAAGACAGCGGGGTTAAGTTGGTTTTGTTTTCGGTATTCCTGACACATTCAGTGATAAACGACATTAACTCAAAAACATCTCACTCTAAAAAGATCTGAACTGTGTTTCCTACAAAAAGACAAAGCAGGTTATGTTTCACAGCTGTCTTATTCTCTTTTTCGCTCGATATTACGAGCACTGCTCCGTTTAAAGGCTGATTTATACTTCTGCGTCAAACGCCGGCGTATGCTACGTTGCTGACGCATAGCCATTCGCCGTGGCTGTTGGCGTCACTGACGTGCACCTCTCCAAAAATTTAACTACACGTCGCGTATCGCAAGCTCTGTGATTGGTCGGCTTGGTAGCGCTGAAGAGTCTGGGCGGGACCTAGAGCCGCGTGAATGGTGCGAGCCTGATGGAGCGATTGTTTACAAGTGTGGAGTCCCGTGAAGGAGCTCCTGATGGGAAGTTTTGTTTTGTGTTTACCTCATAGTTAAAGTTGTTGCACGTCCGCCGGTTCCTGCCTCAAAATGAGCGAGTTTGAGCCACTTGTACATCCAGGAAGTGTTCAGGAAAAGCAAAACAGCAGAGAAGAAACTCGACACAGAGGAACATTTACACCTCACTGCCAACTAGCGTTTCAGAAGTTTTAATGCAGACCGACAGCGCGCAGAAGTATAAACGCACAGCTACGCGCGTTGCCTGTGGCGTGGGTTAAGCCGGTCTCAGTAAGGGACCGTCGGAAAAGTGCTTCTTTATTTTGTTTTTTCCTTTTCAAAAACAAAACCAACTTAACCCCGCTTGGAAAGACGTGTCATATTATCACAATTATGCAGCATTTTAACCGCCTAATACTTCATTCATGTAAATACACACAAGTACTAGTAAAACAAAAGAGTTTGTAAAACACACAAGGAAGTCTAACAATCCATTCAAATATAATTTGCCGGTGTGTGACGTCCATCTTACGTAACAGGTGGCGATCACTTACAGGTTTATGTGAATTGGAATATCAGTTAGTTGATGACAGGATGAGCAAGCGTGCGATTATGTTGATTTAAAACGAAAAAAAATCAAATCAAAGGGCTACATCTGTCAAACAGACGGTGTGTGACGTGACAAACATGATGCGTCGCCATGGAAACATTAAGGGTGAACGTTCTGAAAAAAACTGACTCCTGGGGCCAGATAGAATCTTTTAAGCTCAGCAGTGAAAGGGTTAACAACAGCAGTATAGCGGCGGTGGTGGAGTTACTCTGCACACGTTTTTATTCACATTTTCATTCAAATTTTTTATTTTTATTCATTTTTATTCATTATTTTGTCTCGTTTCCAGTTCAAATATCTAAAAAATCTTCCATCAAGACCAGACAAGAAAAATGGCACGAGAAAATGAAGTGATGCTGAAAACTTCTGTTCGAGATTATATCTCAGTAGGATCATTTTTCTTACCCCATTGGCAAATAATTTAAGTTGTTTTAAGCAAACGATCACTTAATTTTGAGACTAAGTGATTTCTTATGCTATTTCATGTGTCTAGTATGCATCTTCATTTAAAAACATTTAGATATTTGGATTAACTAGTTCGTTTTTTTATTTATTATTACTATTATTATTATTATTATTATTATTATAACAGCTCAGGGATGAGCTTTTTTGAATGAAGGGTTGGAAATGAATGCTTTTCTTGTTTTGTTTTTTTTATTCGATTAATCGAAAAAAAATTATCGACAGATTAATCGATTATTAAAATAATCGTTAGTTGCAGCCCTACTGGATAGTGCCTGCCTACTGCACCTAAGGGCTCTGAAAGTGATCACCTGTGCTTCTCCTTTCCTCCTCTTCTGACCGCCTTGTTATGACAATGTCAATTGTAGAGGTCCATCTATCAGCCCAATGAGGAAACTAACAGCGTGGCTGAAGGTTTAATGCATGTAAGCCTTTTCTAGCGCTTCTGAAAGGAATTTTGTTCTTTATTAGAATTTATTTATATTCGTTTTTTAGCTTTGAATTTAATCCGACTCCAATTTTAAGTGATCATAAACTTTAGCCTGTATTTTTATTTGTAAGAACGGATCACATTCATCATTTATGACTTAATTCAGAGTTTTGATTTATATCTGTTCCCTTACTCTAAGTCTCAGAGATTCTGCAACAGGGGTCTTGGCCACAGGATCCCCCTGATATGTGTGCATATTTACCTTAAACACTCAACCCATAAATCAAGACAATAAAAGCGTCACGAGACCCTCGCCTGGTGAATTTGAGGAGTTAACCATCTCTAAGGAGGGAGAGCATCTGGCAGAGAACTTATCAAAGTCAAAAACCAAATCAACATATATCAGGGAAATATTACAATGACATTAAGACCACTTTACCAATCACACAGAGACATTTAAAATGATACCAAACATGAATATAGTGCAGCAAGATACACCATATTAAACCCTGGACATTTTCCACATCAAAACTGGACAGAGCAGAGATCAACATCCAATAATGCAATTCACAACCGCAAATAAACACAAAACACGCAAAATACAGATATGTTTTAGTGTAAAATCAGTGCACACTTCAAGTATGTATTTTAGACGCTGCTAGTGTGTACTCTCTCCACACCGCTTTCAGTTTTTTCTTGTAGTGTGTGTGTGTGTGGGCATAACGGTCACATGTGTGTTTAACGTAAACCCGACATGGCAAAAGTACACACATCCTTTACTTTAGTAAAAATACACATACGTTCAAAACGACTCTGGTGAAAGTAGAAGTACTGAAGTACGCCCTCAAAAATATACAAAAGTTAAAAAAAAGCACATTTTAACCACGGTCAAAAGACATGCGGTATGGGGGAATAATAGGAAACTAAATTGGCAGTAGTGTATAAGTGCGAGTGTGTAAATGTGAGGGTGTTTCCCAGTACTGGGTATCCGCAGTGTAAAACATATACTTGAATAATTGGCGGTTCATTCTGCTGTGGTGACCCCTGATAAATCAGGGACTAAGCTAGGCTTGGGCGGTATTACAGTATACCGTGGGATCTAAAAATAGCAACGGTGCCAGTTTTAATACCGTTATACCGTCATAAAATATTAAATATCCTTTATTTAACGTCTACAAAAACGTATGTGTGGTTGTCATCACGGGACAGTGTGGAGGAGAGAGGGAGGGGGAGAGGTGACGTGACGTGCTCCAAAGTGACCTGCAGTTGGGCAGTTTCGACTGAACAGAAGGGAGACGTGGTTAATATGAACGAGAGGTCTGCATTCGAGCTGAAGATCTTTGCCCGAACCCGGCGAGACCCGAAAAAATCCAAATTCCTGCATTAAAATCCATCCCTGCAAAGATGAAACAAATGATGACGAAGTAGTAAAAAAAAGCGAATTTTGACGGCGTCAAGCCAGTCACTAGCTCAGAAGGAGCGGTCATTCCAGCCGTCAAGGTATTTCGCGGTCGCTCATACACTGCGTATTACGCTAGAGCCCTAAACCGCAAGCTGACAGGTAAAAAGACGAGGCCTCTCGCTACACTGAAACTGCTGTCATGGAAAATTAAATGGATGTTCCTGACTGGTAGAAGATGAACAAACAATCCTACCCAAAACCTGCAAAATCAGCCGGATCAGAACTCTGCACCCCGGCCTGTAGCAGCAGGAAACGGTGTTCAGTTCTGCTGGACGCACCATGAGTAAGAGACTGTGCTAAAGGCAGTGGATTTAATAATGTTCCTCCACAAACACAC